ACATATCATAAGAGTCTGTAATAGACCTACGTGAATAAAGATATTTTGAATTTGAATTTGAATTTGAATTTGTGATGAGACAGCTTTCCGAATAAGCGGTAGATTTAAAAAAAATTGTTGACTATTCAAAAGTGCTTAAATTTGAATAAATGATTTACTATTCTATTCATAATTTTTGACGTATCTTTGATAACTTGACCACTGACAGATGTCAAGTAAATTGTTTGTGTTCAATCCATTTGAAAATGAAGATAGGTTAATAAAACCACAATAATTAATAGCAAAACCAATTGTAAGTTAATATGTATATTGCAAAAATGTTTGCCGGATTGGGAGGCCGGGAGAGTGTTAGTGACTGCCTTTTTTTTGTTTTTGCTCCGCCTCGGATAAAATAAAGATCCGGCTGTTTTAGGTACATTCAGTAGAAACTCGTCTGCGTGGGTACCTCAGTCTGTTAGAACGAGGTTTGCAATCGATGTCTAGACTGGCTGGTATGGCAGATGAAGTATGTTTGAATATTTGAAAAGAGAGTGTGTTTTGTCATCTTGTCTGTCGTCGTATTGATGTATCTATAACTTATCTGTATATTGTATTAAATGTGTTTTTATATTATTTTATTTTAATTAGAAATATATTTTGTTTATCTTATTCTACGTTATTTACTTGAACACCACTATAGTTACTCTGTTAACGTGAGAAGTTCGGAGGTAACTTCTCTCACACAGTCTATTTCAGCTGCCCCAAGTAGATTGCTCTATAAAGCTGTTTTGGTTTAACGCTGACTGTACAGGAAGAAGGAAGTATTGAAATAACAGGATATGGAGGCCTGACACCATATGACATTGTATGACACCAAATAATAATAATAAATATATTAATTGCTAATATTAGTATCGTAATATACATTTATACATTTTTACTATGATTGGCAATAGGGACAAACTCAGCTATTGCTGGACTGATGGGCGTCCAGCGCTGGTTTTCAGTTTGTACGTACGCAGGCGTACCTAAACACGTGTGCTAGATAACCATACCATAGCATAATGAAATAAAGTTTTTACTATACATAAATAATAATATACACAAGGATACACACGTACCATGCATGCAATGCATGTGTACTTACACAAAACTCACATTTTATGTCGAGATTTGTCGCCGCTATCCAAGAGTTGTCTCTATCTATCTAATATTCCTTAAGAATTTTTAAATTTTATCGGTATTATCATTTGGCGTAATGGTAGAGGCAAACCGTTGCAATGTCCGTGGTGTTTTTTTTATGGATGATAATGTAATGGTGCCCCCGCCTGCGCTAACGGTTTACGCTGGGCGGGGCACCAGTGGAGGAAGATAGGATGAGCATGAGGTCAGGTCAGTTAGCGTCGTGACAAATTCACCAGGAATTCATAATGATGGTCCCCTTAGGGGTGGAATTTATCAAAATCCTTTCTTAGGGGATGCTTACGTCATAGTAGCTTTATGCATGCAAAGTCTCAGCCCGATCGGTTTAAAATTGACAAAGTTTCATACAAACTTTCATCCCCTATTTTATCCCCTTGGGGGTAGAATTAATCAAAATCCTTTCTTAGCGGATGCTTACGTCATAACATCTACCTGCATGCCAAATTTCAGCCCGATCCGTCCAGTGGTTTGCGCTGTACGATGATAGATCACTATGTCAGTCACCTTTGACTTATATATATTTAGATAAGATTTTAATATCATTTTTTAAATATCAAATTAAATCATTTTATATAATTCTAATTAAATACTTGGGAAATATATTAATCAAATTAATTCGGTTTCTATAATAATTGTGTACTGATAGTGTTCCAGTTACATTCAGCTTGTATGCCCACATTCCACAGGGTAAGGAGTTTCACGTAATCATGGGGTATTTTTTTTATTGGGTTGTTTGGGCTATTGTCAGGTGTATGGACCTGTATCACTGCGACCTACATAGATCTATTGTGCTCGCCCTTTTTCAAAGTTCGCTACCTATACCCGTCAGGGACAAGAATTGAAGGATATTCTTAGGAGCGATGATTTTTATCTCCTCAGAATAGAGTGTACTTTCCATAGGAGATATTTCGTTTATGCATGAGTGGGCTACAACCACATAGGATGTGTGGCGTGTCCTCTTCAGTTTGGCAATATCTGCAGATTTTTGTTGTGCATAGGTATGGGGTTAGGAGATAAGGAGAAATGGACTCTCAGTACTAAAACTTGAAATCCATTTTTCAAAAAAATATTTTCCGTACTTAATACAGTTTATTATTAAGCCTGCGAACGTGCTTAAAATATTGAAATTTGATGACGTCACGGAAGAATCTGTAAACTGATTACGTCATCAAATGACGAATAGACGTAATGTTCCTTTAGTATCAACTAGCGACGCGCCCCGGCGTTACATCCATGTCTGGTATGTTATGGAGGTCGTATATATATTTGACCTCGGTGGTCTAGTGGTTTAGCACACCGCTTTACATCCGATGGTCGCGGGTTCGATTCCTCAACATTTGTATTCATGAGTATGATAGTTTGTATCGGTCTGGGTGTTTTCTATGTATATGATGCATGTATTTACAAAAAGAAGGTACTTATATAAGTTGTTTAGTACCTACTACCTATAACACAAGCTCTGCTAAGCTTGGGACTAGATAACGCTATCTGAATTGAATACAAGTGATTGCGCCGTGCAAGGAATCGAATCTGCGACCATTGGATGTGAATAAAATTTAAGTGTCTGTTTTTAATTTCAACTATTAAAATATATACAATATTTAGATCAAATATCTATTTAATTTTTGCTGATCTATCTATTTGTTCTTGGAACTCGCGAACGGCTGCACCGATTTACACGGGAGTTTCACTCGCAGATAGCTAAAATCATGAAAAGTAACATAAGCTACTTTTATTTCAGAAATATGTATTTATTTTAATGAAAACAAAGTTATATTCAACGCAGATAATGTCGCGGGTAACTACCTACTCTATATATATAAAAAATCAGTCAAATCTATACATATAAATAAAATTGGAGTGTCTGTTTGTAATATTGAAATAACCGTTTTTTACTACATGCATATGAATATAAATACGGTGCATACATCAAAATAACATTTTTTACTATTTTTGTCTGTCTGTCTGTTTGTTCCTGCTAATCTCTAAAATGGCTGGACCGATTCTGACGGGACTTTTATTGGCAGGTAGCTAATGTAATAAGGAGTAACTTAGGCTACTTTTAGTTTATAAAAAAACATTTATTTTATATAAATAAAGTTAATTTCCGCGCGGACGAAGTATAACTAGTTAAGTAATACATTTTCTTTCTTTATAAAGTAGGTTTATTAACGTGTGGACCCTATAGTAGTCTCACGGTTCGTGTATATATGTGTCACCCTATTTTGACTGTAACGTTAAAATCTCCCAAGGTTAAACAGACCCATACTTTTCCATAGCATCAAATTTGAATGTAGATGCATGAGTCAATGTATGATGTAGACATATATATTTAGTATACGTTTCCATTAACACGACTGAGTTACGACAGAGTCTCTCATCATGATCTGCTTCTTCCATATCCCATTTATTTGTGGTCGGTGATCGGCCAGCCGAACAGGGATGAATGGAAGAGAAAAAATTACGCCGACCTTTTTTTTTTCGCACTACTCTAATGCTGTTGGCCACAGCTGGCCTTTACAGCTTCACCGGACGATAGGGGGCGAGTGCAGATGGCACTCCAAACCAAAGGAAGGACTTATAGAGGGGCTGAAGGCCAACACCTGCCTGACGGATACGACTTTAGTCTGAGGGCACCACTAGGGGTTCGAACCTCGGCTCAGGCCGTAATTTCAAATCCCAGTTAGTCCATAGTGACAAATTCACCAGATATTTATCACGTTGGTTTCCAGGGGAAACCGCGTGGAGGTCAACCTGACATGCTACATTGCTAGCAATAAGGTCGTCAGTCCACATTACTAACAATCCCCTTTCCCCCTCTAAATGCGGATTGAGGAGTAACACCCTCGCAAACATACAAAAAAATCTGTTATTTTCTGTCGGTTTGAAATTAGTATCAATGAGCGTGCGTGGAATAGTGAACTTGACCATATAAAGAAAAAAAAAATAATCTAACCAAAAAAATTTACATCGTTCTAGCTTCCAAATTGACGAAATCTGTATCGATTTCGTCATGTTCATCCCCTATTTTTTTCCACCATTAAGGGTAAAAAACTTTTAGAAACTTTGAATGTTATATTTATTTATATTTCATCAACAGCCTAATAAATAAGTTTCAAACTACTAGATTTAAAAATGACGAAACTTCCGTACAACCTTTCATCTCCCCTTCCAACCCCTTACAACCCTTTTTTCAATAAAAAGTTATAAACTTATATCCTTTCTCCAGGAACTGTGTGTGTACCAAATTTGAATCGGTTCAGTATACAGACGGACAGAGTTACCTACGCATTTATAATATTAGTAAGGACGGTAACTGTTAATAATGTAGACTAATAATTTATCAGGTTGACCTCCACATGGTCCCCTCTGGAAACCATCATGATAAATTCATGGTAAATTTACCACGATGGGCCAACTGACCTGACCTGATCTTATCATCCTCCACTGGTGCCCCGCCAGCGTAAACCGTTAGCACAGTCGAGTGCACCACCCCATCCAAGCCGGCTCAAGTTAATCAGAACAATCTTTTAAATTACGCAACGCATTTCAATGCACTTTTCAGCAATAGATAGAGTGATTCAAGAGGAAGGTTTATATGTATAATACATGTACACTCGTGCGAAGCCGAGACGAGTCATCTATAAATAAAAAAATATTAGTACGGATTGGTCGCACCAATGGAAACTCACCTTAACACGAATACTGGATGTAGATATAGAGCAATATTGCGCTTCCTTGCTTCAGTTCATCGCGACCTTTTGGCGGGAACGTTGCAGTAGACGCCATATTGATAAAACAATTTTCTTTTTCTTTTTTTTTAATATAAGTTCTAAATTTAAAAAATATGTCCGTAGTGCCAGTAGTAAAATTTGAGAACGGCCACACTTGTCCCGTTATCGGTCTCGGTACCTGGAAGGTGAGTTGCGAATTTCAAACAGCTTTATTTTATGTTATCCTGGTGGAGACAGCTTATTTTTATGATGGTGGAAAACAAGCATACGGCCAGTCTGATGATAAATGGTTACCGTAGCCTATGAACGTCTGAAACAGGAGGGATTTCATGCGCGTTGCGACCTTTAGAAACCTTAATATACCCTTCTTGAAAAACTCTAGGTAGATGGAGATCTAAAAATTTGTATTAATCACTAGCTGTCCCGGCAAACGTTGTTTTGACATATAAATTAATAACGTTATAAAAAATAGAGTTTGATGATAGAAGGGTGAAAACTTAGGGTTGTATGTATTTTTGTATGTTGTATCATAAAAAAATAGAAACTAAAAATTTTGTCTAAAAAATAAAATAAAAAAATTTAGGGGTGGGGTGGGGTAAAAATATATAATAAACTACCGGAAGATTTGAAAAATATAAAAGAAGATAAAATATTTATAGATAACCTAAAAAAATTACTAATTAAAAAATGTTATTATAATGTCAACGAATATTTGACAGATAAATTATAGTCACTCTATAATAATAATGTATACAGACCGATTAGAAAAATAATATATAAAATAATTAAATTCTGTTAACGCCACTGCATCTCATAGTAGCTTGCTGCGCCCATCAGGGTCCATGGTGCTCTTATAATAATACCACAGATAACATAATATTACATAATAATACTATGTTAACCACTATTGTAACACTATGGAACGCAAATGAATAAATAAATAAATAAAAACAGTTAAATTAGAGTAAATAATTAGAATACACTAATGCTACGGTAAGTGATAGGCCAGTGATGAAGTGATAATTGATAATACCTTGGTTTTCAATGTATTCGCTTCTAGAGTTGGAGAATTATATGAAACCTTGTCGACTGGCTTGTTAACTACATTCATATTGTAGAATGATGTTATTAAAGTAACGGCTTTAATTAGAATTATGAAAAAATAAGATATTGCACTGTTTGGTAGATTGTGATCGCAGGCTTTTGTTGAAAACGCTATATTTTATATAGAATAGAATAGAATAGAATAGAATAGAATAGAATAGAATAGAATAGAAAATCATTTATTCAAAGCTGCGTGAATTGTAAAAAAAACATTTAGCCGCGGTTTATATTCAATATAGTTTGTATTCACACACTTAAACTTAAATTGTAAGTAAAAATAAATTATTTAAAAGAGCTACACACTAGTTTCTTGATTAAAAAAAAATGTTATGTCTATTCAAAAGTGCTTCAATGTAAGCTTATTTGAATAAATGATTTTCTATTCTATTCTATTCAAATAAACTTACATTGAAGCACTTTTGAATAGTCATCACATTTTTTTAATCTACCGCTCATTCGGAAAGCTGTCTCATCACAAGAAGAACGAACAAGAAACTTGTGTGTTGCTCTTTTAAATAATTTTATTCTTTCTTACAATTAAAAGTTTAAGTGTGAATACAAACTATATTGAATATAAAGCGAGTGAAACCTCGGCCATAGCTAAATATTTTTTATACAATTCACGCAGCGCCATCTAGATCCAAGTTAAGCTACTTTGTGTTATAGGTGTTAGATAACTGATACACATACATAGATATTTTTTTCGTAAATACATACATATTATACGTAGACAACACTCAGACCGACACAAACAATCATAAATTCAAATTCAAATTCAAAAATCATTTATTCATGTAGGATATTTTAGCCGCTTATGAAAGTCAAGTTTTTACGTTATATTTTTTTTCCCTACCGTCCAGTTCAGTATATAGATCCAATTGAGAAGAACTGGCAAGAAACTCAATTGAATTACTTTTTTTTTTAAAAGCCAGTTTATTTACAATGTATAGGTATTTATATAGGTGTCTATGTCTAACATTAAATGAAAATCCCGTGCATGAACAACTATTGCCATGCACGCTCGTCATTTCATAATCATGATAATAAAATAAAAAAACTGTTAACTAATTTATTTGTTATTTGTTATATTATATTTATTTGTTTGTTTGTTTGTTTATATATTTATTTGTTTGTTTGTTTGTTCCAGTCTGCCCCCGGTCAGGTGACGGAGGCTGTTAAGGATGCAATCGATGCTGGTTACCGGCACATAGACTGCGCCCACATATACCTCAACGAGCCGGAGATCGGAGAGGCCCTCAAGGTCAAGTTTGAGGAAGGAGTTGTTAAGAGGTAAGAAAGAAAGACTAAAAAAAAAACATTTTGACAGCCATTGCATTCTCTTCCTTCCTTGATTCTCGGCCTCGGTGGTCTAGCGGTATAGCGCACCGCTTTACTTCCCATGGTCGCGGGTTCGATTCCTCGCATGGTGCTAACATTTGTATTATTCTTAGTATGATTGTTTGTATCAGTCTGGGTGTTATCTATGTATAATCATTACATATTATAAAACAAAGTCGCTGTCGCTGTCTGTCCCTATATATGCTTAAATCTTTAAAACTACGCAACGTATTTTGAAGCGGTTTTTTTAATAGATAGAGTGGTTCAAGAGGAAGATTTATATATATCTATAATACATGTACACCCGGGCGAAGCCGGGCGAGTAGCTAGTATAGTTTAAAACAAAGTCGCTATCGCTGTCTGTCCCTATGTAGGCTTAAATCTTTAAAACTACGCAACGGATTTTGAAGCGGTTTTTTTAATAGATGGAGTTATTCAAGAGGAAGGTTTATATGTATAATACATGTACACCCGTGCGGAGCCGGGGCTCGCTAGTCATCTATAAATAAAAAAATATTAGTACGGATTGGTCGCACCAATGGAAACTCACCTTAACACGAATACTGGATGTAGATATAGAGCAATATTGCTAGTATCTATATATTTATAAAAAAAACTGTATTTAAGTATTTCTAACTATCAATTGTCTAGTACCCATAACACAATATTACCTTGAATAATATAATGATATCGCCGAGTGAATTGTCTCGAGATATTATTAAAAACAACACTAAATCCTGCCCCGAGTCTGAACTTAAAACTTTGAACGGACAATTTTTAATATTTACAAAACATTCTAAAAATGGACTTTACACACAGATAATCAAGAACATTGTTATTATTTGTAAAAAAAATAACATTTACCGGTATTAGTGCTGACCTATAACTAGTATATCGTTAAGGTCGCACATCGGGTGATGTTTTTAATCTGTGGTTTGATAACAAAACGCTGCACTTAGCTCCCGATCAATATGTTAGGACAATTCACACAGCGCCATCTAGGCCCAAGTTAATCAGAGCAATCTTTTAAATTACGCAACGCATTACAATGCAGTTTTCAGCAATAGATAGAGTGATTCAAGAGAAAGGTTAAAAACCTATCTGGGTTTAATCATTACATAGTATAAAATAAAGTCGCTGTCGCTGTCTGTCCCTATGTATGCTTAAATCTTTAAAACTACGCAACGGATTTTGAAGCGGTTTTTTAATACATAGAGTATTTAAGAGAAAGGTTAAAAACCTATCTGGGTTTAATCATTACATAGTATAAAACAAAGTCGCTGTCGCTGTCTGTCCCTATGTATGCTTAAATCTTTAAAACTACGCAACGGATTTTGAAGCGGTTTTTTTAATAGATAGAGTTATTCAAGAGAGATAAAAACCTATCTGGGTTTAATCATTACATAGTATAAAAGAAAGTCGCTGTAGCTGTCTGTCTCTATGTATGCTAGAGACAAAAAATGCTTTTACTCGGTTGACGAATTTTTTGATGAATGACCGTTACTGTACCTGGACCGTTACCGAATTGAGCCACAGTAACGGTAACGACCGTTACTGTGGCTCAATTCGGAAATTATTATTGGTATTATTATTATTTTGACATTGTTATTTTAGATTTAGATTATTTAATTTTGTACTTTGAAATTCGACACAATAATTATTGTTATGAATCAATAAATAAATAGAACAAGCCGAGAAATTAAACGATTAGTAAAGTCGGTAGTTTAAGATAAAAATATTTGTGTCAAGTCTCAAGTTATCCTCACAAAGTTATCTATATTCAAGGTTAATTAGAATTGATTATTTTTTGTGCACACACAGTGGCGTCCATTATTTAGACTATATCTGGTGAGGTTACACACTTGTTCGATCTTTCAATTTATTAATAGTCATGTTTATAATAGAAATTAAATAGCCACTAGTTTAAATGTTTTTATAATCTCACCAAAAGTACAAAAGTACAGTATTATAAATAACTAGTTGACCCGCGCAACATCGTCTGCGTTTCATTTCTTCACCTTTTGCAATATATTTCATTGCAGCTCCGCTCCTATTGGTCGTAGCGTAATGTTATATAGCTTAAAGCCTTCCTCGACAAATGGACTATCCAATACAATAAGAATTCGAACCAGTAGTTCCTGAGATTAGTGTGTTCAAACAAACAAACTGTGTTATAGTCAAGTCAGTAATAAAAATAGTACATTAGGGTGTGTTGAAGCGAAGATTTCTGGTGTGTCTGATGAGTGAGAGGTTCTGAGGGTTTTAATGAGGAAGATACGGAGATAAAATAAAATGAAACTAATATGACAGCGATATATAATAGAATGTAACAAAAAATATGTCATAAAAATCATAACATAGTATAAAACGAAGTCGCTGTCGCTGTCTGTCCCTATGTATGCTTAAATCTTTAAAACTACGCAACGGATTTTGAAGCGGTTTTTTTTAATAGATAGAGTGATTCAGGAGGAAAGTTTATATGTATAATACATGTACACCCATGCCAAGCCGGGATGAGTAGCTAGTTAGATATAAACGCAAAAGTTTGTTAGTATGGATGGATGTTTGTTACTCTTTCACACAAACACTACTAAACAGATTTTGATGAAACTTTACAGTAATATAGCTTATACATCAGAATGACATGGCTATAAATTTCATGCGGGTGAATCCACGGGCTCAGCTAGTGATAAATTAATAAATATTTCTCAAATTTCATTCGCAGAGAAGATATATTCATAACTTCCAAGTTGTGGTGTACGTACCATCGACCAGACCTCGTGGAGGGCGCCGTCAGCGTCACCCTCAAGGACTTGGGTCTGGAGTACCTCGACCTGTACCTGATACACTGGCCACAGGCATACAAGGTAAGAAATTCACGTCCATGTGGAATTTTTTCATCCATATATATAAAACTGAATTGCTGTTCGTTAGTCTCGCTATGTAATATTATGTTATCTGTGGTCTCGCTAAAACTCGAGAACGGCTGAACCGATTTCGCTAATTTTAGTCGAGACTTATTCGTGGTAGTCCAGGAAAGGTTTAAACGGAGATAAAATATGAAGAAATTTAATGTGAAATAGTAAAAACAACATTTGTTTCCCATACTAACTGCTGATACCTGTCAAACAGGGTGCGTTCAGAAATTTATTGCGTAACTAAACTTCAAAAACCCTTTGATATGTTTATTTTGAGGCGAAACAGAGTTTGTGGGGTTAATTAGTATATTACATTTTATCATTGGTAATCAACGTCTATGTGACAGACTCGACCCATTGGCTTTGCGGCGAGATATTGCATCTCTGTGCATTTTCTACCGCATATATCACGGGGAGTGTTCTGAGGAATTGTTCGGATTAATACACCAGCTGAGTTTCACCACCGTACCACCCGCCAGAAACTGAAATACCATCCTGATCATATGGATGAATGGCGGTCTTCCACAGTACTGTTTTCTAGAAACTTTTTGCCTCGCACAACCACATTGTGGAATCACCTTCCAGCAATGGTATTTCCGAAGTGATACGATTGAAACCTTCAAGAGAAGAGCTTATTCCTTCTTAAAAGGCCGACAACGCACTTGCAATTCCCCTGGTGTTGCGGGTGCTCATGGGCGGCGGTAATCACTTACCATCAGGTGAGCCGCATGCTCATTTGTCCCGTGTTATATAAAAAAAAATTACATAAAATTAGTAATATGATAAATATAACTATGTGTTAAGCGGATTGTGGACAGTACATTAGGAACAAAACAGCAACAGGGGAACCGCGTGGAGATCAAGCTGACAGTACATCGCTAACAATGTGGCCATCAGTCCACATTACTATGTAATATTATATTATCTGTGACATTACTAACAATCCACTTTCCCCCTCGATTCTCGCGATGTAATCTTTGACACAGTCCATCCATCTCATTCACGGCATTTCTCTGCCATTATAACTTAATATTAGTTTTAATATTAAGTATATAGTAATATAATTATATTATTATATACTAATAACTCATATAAAATCTATTTTCATATGAGTTTAGTGAAAGCTGTTAATCTTTTTTAAGTTTTTGTTAAGCTGTTGGTTGAATTACAAACGGACAGTTCAATTTTATTTATTTATTTAGGTATAGATTCATTCTTTTTGAAATTTCTTAGGAAGGAGAAGAGAACTTGCCTCTTGACGAGAATGGCAAAGTCATACCCTCACCGGTGGACTTTGTGGACACGTGGAAGGCCATGGAGGGCCTCGTGGAGAAGGGCCTGGTGAAGAGCATCGGCGTCTCCAACTTTAATAGGAGACAAATCGACAGGTTGCTGACATTGGCTGATATAAAACCAGCTGTTTGCCAAGTAAGTAGGATCCAGTAACAACGCAATCGATTGTACTTTTAAAGTTGCTAAGTTCTGGTATAAACATATTTAGATTTACCATAGACACGAAAGAAGAAGGAAGCATTTTTTAATCTTATCTGTGGAACAACTTATAAAGTAACAATATTTGTTATTTGACAGAATCTCTAAACATATTTAGTTTTACCATAGACACGAAAGAAGAAGTAAGAATTTTTTAATCTTATCTGTGGTACATTTCATGCAGTAACCATTTTTATTTGACTAAAACTTATGCATAAATGATACATATCTAATTGGGGGATATCCATAAATTTCGTCAAACGTTGAGTGTCGGAAGAGGGTACAAAGTGTAGGTATATATATAACAAAGGGTCTTGATTTCGTCCAAAAAAATCACTTGCCACTAGAGTAGTAAAAAAAAACTATATCTAGGGCTACTATATTTTATATATATATATATAAAAGCCTTGAGCTTAGTGCAGGGACAGCTGTTAAAACATTTTATCTATAATCATTGATGTAAAATGTACAAATAAATAAACATACTTTTCTTCAATATAGACCATTACTATAACTTACCAAGACGGTTACCTCTTACCTACTTCTTACCTAGACCAGACAGTCTGCCGTCAGCTTCTTTACCATTCAGAATACATAAAACACAATTTTAATTTCCAGATCGAAGTGCATCCATACCTAAACCAACAGAAGCTCATTGACTACTGCATGTCGAAAGGCATCGCTGTGACCGGGTACTCCCCTCTCGGTTCCCCAGACAGACCCTGGGCCAAGCCTGACGATCCCCTCCTGATGGATGACCCAAAGCTGAAGACGATCGCGGAGAAGTATGAAAAGACAGTCCCTCAAGTGCTGATAAGGTATTTTTATGTAGTTATACCTCCGTTAACCATAGAGGGAAAGTTTAATTTTAATTAAAAAAAATTAATTAAAGTAAGTTTAACCAGTTAGGGAATTCATCCCCACACACTGGAACCTAAGTGGTCCCGAACAGTGCGTTTCAGAGGAGTTTCCTCCCGCGTACACTTAGATTGTGGAATGAACTTCCTGCCGAGGTTTTCCCACGAGACTACAGCATGGGGTTTTTCAAAAAGGGTATATTAAGGTTTCTTAAGGGTCGGCAACGCGCAAGTGATACCCCTGGTGTCTCAGGCGTTCATAGGCTACGGCTAACCATTTACCATCAGATGGGCCGTATGCCTGATTGCCACCATCGAAGTATAAAAAAAAATTAGGCCTTAGCTATCAATCTGCAGATGTTGCCAAGCTGAAGAGGAAACGCCACTACACATCCTATGTGGTTGTAGCCCACTCATGCACAAATGAAATATCTCTTTTGGAAAGTATACACTCTATACTGAGGAGATAAAAACCATCGCTCCTAAGAATATCCTTCAATTCTTGTCCCTCACGGGTCTAGGTAGAGAACTCCGAGAGCGAGCAGAATAGACCTATGTGCTCGCTCTCGCTTACATGTTTAGCTTGGTTCTAGATGGCGCTGTATGAATTGTCCAGGGTTATTATTATTATTTATATACTCTTTTTTTTCGGATTACTCTAGTGCTGTTGGCAACTGGCCTTTACAGCTTCACCGGACGATAGCGGGAGAGTGCAGATGGCACTCCAAACCAAAAGAAGGACTTATGGAGCGGCTGAAGGACAACTTCGACAACGGATACGACTTTAGTCTAAAGCCACTGCAATTATTATTATTCTTTTTACATAAAAAATCATTATTTTTTCCAGGTACGCGATCGAACGTGGTCTGATAGTCATCCCCAAGTCCGTCACCAAGAGTCGGATCATCTCCAACTTCGACGTGTTCGACTTCAGCCTCACACCTGATGATCTTACGCAGATCTCCACGCTGGAGTGTAACGGACGCTTCTGCAACATGGGAGAGTAAGTATAGTTTCTGTCAGGGAAAATAACGCTTGTTATGAAGCATGAGGTGAGAGTGGTCAGTCAGGGTATGCTCCGGTTAGGACTTCCCTGGTCTAGGTGATGTTCTCACTTTCTTTTCTATAATTAATCACTCACTTTATATATATTTGAGAATATTTTGATGTGTTATTTTCGATTTTTTTATACTACATACGGCCCATCTGATGGTAAACGGTTACCGTAGCCTATAGACGCCTGAAATACCAGGAATATCTCGTGCACGTTTTTCCAGTTTCAGTTTCAGTAGTTCCAGTTTAGTACGGATGTATGTACATATAAAAAATGCAGTTTATCAGTTGTCTAGCACCAATAACATAAGCTCTGCTTAGCTTGGGACTAGATGGCGCTGTTTGAATTGACCCAAGTTTTATTATTAACATATTTTTTTTTGTTACAGTACACACCACCCCGAGTATCCCTTCAAAGATGAATATTAAGCAAGCGTTGAGATATTTAAGTCGAGTGCCTATAATTTATAAAATTTATGTAACGTGAGCTGTATGGCCAATTTCCTGTGACTTATTGTTTCATAATTTGGTTATAATCTAGTATTGATTATAATCGATAGATTGTCATACAGCTTGTCACAATTAATTTTAAAAATACTATAGTATTTGTAAATATATAATCACAATTTACATTTTTTTTTCTTATTAAAATGAACCTTATAATAGCTTTGCAATGTGATACAAAATTATATAAACAAATTAATTTATTAATCTGTACCTACTATACACATGAAATACACTAAATAAGGAGATATTGTTAATTGTTAAATTTAATAAAATATCTTAAAAAATTAAAATGTGTTTTATTTATATCGCAAAGGTGAAAATTACTGTCTATGCCTGCAGAAGTGTTTTCTGATCACAAAAGTTCTTCATTCATATATTTTTTTTCGTTATAGACTATAAATCGACTGAATCGACTTTTGGCGGCAAAAATTTTACTTTAGTTATAGTTCTTTATTTATACCACGATGGTGGCAAACATGCACACTGCCTGTGATAGTAAATGGTTACCTTTACACGCCTGAAAGACTAGGAGCACTTTACTTTGCTTCTTGAAAATATTTATCCTTCTTGAAAAACTCCATGCTATAATCGCTAGAGAAAACCTTGGCTGATGATAGGTCATTCCACAATCCAAATTTATGTGGGAGGAAGCTCTTCTGAAACCGCACTCTCCGAGACCACACTTATTATTAAAAACAACATTTATTCAACAGAGCAACACGCAAATTTCTTGTTCATTCTTCTTGTGATTTTTCTACCTTACGAATGAGTGGTAGTTTAAAAGAAATACTTCAAATGTGTTTATATTAAGTTTATTTGAATAAAGATTATTTATATTTCTATTAATTAGGTTCCATGATGTGAGGATGAATTTTTTGTCTATGGTAGGATGATTAGTGTGAGAATGAATTATTTGTCTATGGCGCGATGGTAAAAGCTAGCTTATCTGTGGTCAGTTAACAAATCGGGGTGTTGTTTAGTGATGTGGGTGCGTAAATATTTCCGGTTGTAGAGCCGGCCGCAGTGTGGACAAGCTGTTCGAGAGCGCGCATGCGCGGAGTATCGGTGCCGGGCAAGATGGCGGCGGGATTTGAACATCTTATTACATTCTGTGCACTGTTATGAAAAAAATAAATATTAGATTATTTGATTTTATTTAAGAAAAATATATTTATTATGTTGTAGGCTACCAACCTCCTTGCATTAAGTAACTATATAACACAGATAACACACATATATAACACAGATAACACACACATATATAACACATTTTATAAAAAGTATATTGTAAAAAAGTCAAATTCATTCGCTTGCTAATGACTGATTTAATAAATTGTTAAATTAATTATTATTTGTTATTTTTAATTCTGATATTATATATACCGTCATATTATTCAATCTTTTATTAATATCTCTCCTGTATCAACACGCCAACCAAACCACAAGGTTATTTTGTTGTTTTCTATTAAAACAATACAGTAATATATCTTACGTAACTAACAATTTAAATAAATGACCATGGACAATTAACACAGCGCCATCTAATCCCATGGCAAGCAAAACAGCCAGCTCGATATTACCAACCATACTCATGAATACAAATGTATGCACCGTGCGAAGAATCGTACCCGCGACCATCGAAAGTCGAGCAGTGTGCTAAACTACTAGACTATCGGGGGGAAAGGGATTGTTAGTAATGTGGATTGATAACCCCATTGCTAGCAATGTACCATGTCAGGTTGACCTCCACGCGGTTCTCCTTGGAAACCATCGTGATAAATTCTTGGAGAATTTGTCACGATGTGCTAACTGACCTGACCTCATACTCATCTTATCATCCTCCACTGGTGCCCCGCCAGCGTAAACCGTCAGCGCAGGCGGGTGAGCCATTCCATTATCATCCATAAAAAAAAAACTATTACTGTATTGTTTAGAATGAAATATGCTTACATGTATAGTCCCTATATCTCTGTGGGTCTCGATGTGTTGGACGAGGCAGCGCCTGCTGTGGTAAGACGCCCCGCACGTGTCACATACGAACGGTCGCTCGCCGGTGTGTACTCGCCTCTCGTGAAGCTGCAACAGTAGTTGATGGTCATTACTGTTAACTTTAATATATTAATTTAATTTACTGATTAATGACTGATAATTACTGAAGGTTGGGGCCTCGGGCCCCATTGCCCCGGCAAAGGCAGGGAAGACAGCCTCTTAGGGCTGGTTTCTAAAAATAAGAGCCTAAAAGCCACGATACAATGGTAATCTTTTTTTATTAGGCCTTCCTTTCTTGTTCCTTCTTTTTAAATTTATTATAGAGTAATCATTTGACTAATTTGTATTATCATTAATTATTGGGGGCGCCACCGTCGTGCCACAGGGTAATTATATGGGAAGGAGAAAAGGTACGGCCTATCCCTCCAATCTAACCCCGTCCAATTCAAATGGAATTACGACGACCTACGCCGAGGTTCGAACCCTTAATGGTGCCCTCAGACTCAAGTCGTCTCCGTCAAGCGGAAGTTCGCCTTCAGCCACTGGTTTGGAGTGCCAGCTGCACTCGCCGTTGAAGCTGTAAAGGCCAGCTGCGGCCAACAGCAGTGTTAGAGTGACAGCATTTATCAGTTTGTGTCTCGCCCCGAAAAAAAGAAGACCCTGGGCTGTACATATACACAGCTGAAGCTGAAGAGCAGAACTTGTACGCACTAAGGAATTTAGTAATTTTTAGTTGTAATATTGCTAATTTCATATTGAATGTAAAATCTTCTTGTGGAAACTCTGGCTTGCGTTACGACCTGTTTGAATTGGACAGGGACCCAATGAATCTCTCTTTCACTCACCACTAGTTGCACGTTGTCCAGAGCGAGATAGCCGCAATGTTTGCAGGCCAGCTCTCGCCGCATACCGTGGTAGGATCGGCAGTGCCTTTTCAGCTGCGTTGTGGAGACGAAACTTTTGCCGCAATACTATAAAGATGCAAGAAATAGGTTGGAAAACGACCTTGTTGAAATGTGTTCTTAGGAACAGCGAACAAGTTGACTACCCACCTGATGGTAAGTGGTAACCGTTGCCCATATACATGAACAGCACTACGGACATCACGTTATCATAACACCCGTGATACCACTTATGCATTTAATATCAGACGTGGTTGCTAACAATGGGCCCCATCAACAAGCTCAGAGTCACTCAGAGGGCAATGGAGAGGGCTATGCTCGGAGTTACTCTGCGTGATCGAATCAGAAATGAGAAATCCGCAGAAGAACCAGAGTAACCCGAAGAATTGCGACTCTGAAGTGGCAATGGGCAGGGCACATAGCTCGTAGGACAGATGGCCGTTGGGGCAGTAAAGTCCTCGAGTGGCGACCACGGACCGGAAGACGCAGCGTGGGAAGGCCTCCAGCAAGGTGGACCGACGATTTGGTCAAGATTGCTGGAAGGCATTGGATGCGAGCAGCGCAGGACCGATCGTCATGGAGATCTTTGGAGGAGGCCTATGTCCAGCAGTGGACGTCTTCCGGGCTGCGATGATGATGATGATGATGATTTAATATCAGAGGACTAAGACGCCATACTTTGTATTCTGTAAATTCACTGTAGATTTCTCAACAAAGAAATGTAACTTATAAAGCAAGCTGCTTGGTAGTAGAAACAGGGGAGTTATATTTGAGTTTGAAGCCCTAAGTATAGTGAAGGAACCGGAATATCCGCAACCCCCTTAGAAGGAGCAGTTTCTTATGGATGATAATGGAATGATGCACCAGCCTGCGCTAACGGTTTACGCTGGCAGGGCACTAGTGGAGGAGAAGATTAGCATGATGTCAGATCAGTTAGCCCAATGTCGTAAATTAACCATGAATTTATCACAATGGTTTCCAGGAGGAACCACGTAGAGGTCAACCTGAAACGGTACATTGCTAGCAATGTTGTTATTAGTCCACATTACTAACAGTCCTTTTCCTCCCAGAAGGTGCAGGTTGAGGCCTCTTAGCGAGCCCCTTTGCCCCGGCATCAACTCCGGACGCAACAACTCCATGGGACTGAATTTAAGCCCCATGGACAGGAAACTTAACATGTAAAACATAAATACAATTGAGTTATCTAGATCTAGTGCCACAAACTTATCTTATACTTTTAATGAAACTGGTACTAATGTTGCCATTTTAGAATGTTATATTGATGTCAAATCAATAAATAAAGAACAATAATCATTCTTGACGTAAAAACAGCGATATAATTTAGTTTTTAAGTAATACGCCCTAAGAGGCCTATAATTCAGCTGACCTGGGGCAAAAGGACCCCAAGGCCCCAACCTTCACATCCCTCGGATGTGCGGATGACCTCTCAGCCAACAACGTTGTTATCCGGGAGATACAGTTGTGGAACTGGATAGTGTTTTTATTTATATTCATAAGTACTTACTTCGCACACAAATTTGAAACCCAAATGCAATTTCGCGTGACCTAAAAAACAAGACCATTTTCGTAGTGTCTTCTTGCAGATTTTACATTTCACAGGGCCACTGCGATCCAATACTCCGTCTACCATATTCAAATATATAGCTTTCTTCTCACTCTTTGATAGTTCTCCATCTACGTTTTGAAATTTAGGCTGTATCGTTTGTTGGTCTTTAGTCTCATCAGTCTGTGATATTTTCCCGCCTTCCGCATTGATAATTTTAAACTGTTCTTGCTGGTCTTTAGCCTCATTTGTGTCGTCATTTTTTTCTGCTGTCAATCTGTCAAATTCAATTTCGACATTAAATTCTTTTAATCCGTTATTTTCATTATAATCGTTGGATGAATTAATATCAAATGATTCAGCGTCAATTGCAAGTGATTCTTCGTCATTGTGTAAACTATATTTTTGTTTTCTAAGCTTGATTTCACTTAAATAACTCCTATTACGTAGGTCTAATGCAGAGTTGACTAATTTAGTACAGTTTTCACATATACTCTGTGGTAGACAGTCATTTGGTTCGATCTAAAAAATAAAACTCTTTTTTAATGTCATTGGAAATGAGCGCGGGATGTGCTCTTTGCACTGGATTTCGGGGGTCTTCCGGATGGGGGCTCGTTGTGTGGGGAAGTTTAGATGCTTGGAGATTGTGTGTTATTGATATGTATCGTAGTTTTTCTATACAACGATTTCTTCTGTTCGGGAGACTGCTTGCAGTCTTCCATGGTGGGGGTCGTGTCCCGCGCTCTCTTCAGGAATTATTAAGGAACTCAAGAACGTATTATATACTGAACTATTGAGAAACTCAGGATTTTTTTGCACTGTACTATATTATTTCAAAAATACAAGACTAAAGAAACTTAAGAACATCAAAAACGTACAGCTATGGCTGTATAGTCACAATTCCCTTTGCCTTTCCATTAAATGGTAAACAGAACAAAAAAAAAAGCAAACGACCAACCTATAACGTGGTAACCACTTATATACAAGAAAGCTCCACAGACATCACGTCATCATGTATTGTCAATCGGGATCACTAAGATGTCACGCCTCTTATCCTGTAATTTCACATCCTAATCTGCACCCTACAACCAAACAGCTTACAAAGCAAGCTGCTTGGCGGCTGAAATAGGTGAGACAGGTACACACACAGACGAGTTTTTACAAAGTATACCTGAAAATAGCTTGGACTAACTTTTAGAACATTTGACGGCCTCGGCATTTTAGCACACCGCCCTACTTTCGATGGTCGCGGACAAGGATGTTAGGGAGCCGTAACAATAAACAACTGATATAAAAAAATATTCGTAACGGTAACCGAATTCGAAATAAAAGTTTCGGATAATATCGGATAGGGGCGGAGCGTAATTGAGACACATTATGTAACCAATTTATTAGCTATTTTGTGTTTTACTTTTGAAATTCTTTAAAAAATTAATATCCATAACCGAAATTATCCGAAACTAACGGATAATCCGAAATAATTTCATATCCGTATCCGGTATAATAATCATTCCTATGTCCGAAACCTATCCGTATTCGAAATTTCATATCCATTACATCCCTGGTCGCGGGTTCGATTCCTCGCACGGTGCAAATATTTGTATTCATGAGTATGATAGTTTGTATCAATCTGGGTGTTGTTTATGTATGTATTTACAAAAAATATATGTTTTTCTAGAAGTTGTCTAGTACCTATAACACAAGCTCTGGTTACATGGGACTAGATAGCTCTGTATTAATTGTCTTGGATTATTTATTATTTGTTGTAATAATTTCATTCAAAGCGATTCACACATAAAAAAAATACCCATTGTTATTGCTAATACCACGTGATAGAATGTAGCGTGCACAATTACTTAAATCATATATTCATAACATCTCTAATAAAGATGAAATAATAAACACAAAAACACTTACTTTTAAACCTGTCGTTAGATACAACACTTTAGTATACCTCTCATGATGCTGCATATCAAGAAATATAGGACCCAAATTCGAATCCCGGAGACATAACCTACAAATATTTTGGCACTCAAACATAATTACATATTATGTTCATAAATAAACAGCTTTTTTTGTCATTTTGATCAGAAAGAATAGGAAAAGTTGAGTATAACCCAAACACAGTAATTATATTGACAGGTATAGCCTCAAACTCAAATCGTATTTTCTATTCTAGTATAGCCTGACATCTGAAACAATAATGCACAGACATATTGAGGTAAGTGCAACTATTCTAATACTAAACTGCTTGCACTAGTATAGTGGTACGGGTGATAAAAAAGGATGGCTATATTTTTCGTCATACGACTATTAATTTATAGCTACAGTTGTAAATGAACGGAGATGTCAAACAGATGTCATGCAAGTGTCAGTCGTATCGTACGGTTGATCGACTCGTCGTTGTTCCGTGTTAATCGGTTGTTACTCAATTCTCCTTTTAAAAATGAATCTGTATTATTGTAAACATGTACAACATTTATTTGAAAAGAATACGAGCTGAGTTTCTTGTCAGTTCTTCTCATCTCGAAATCACTCCGAACTGACGGTAGATTTGACATATCATAAAAGTCTGTAATAGACCTACATGAATAAAGATATTTTGAATTTTTTATTAATTGTTTTATAGATAATTTGATGGCGATACAGATTTTCGATATTATACAGAACTAGTTGTTGCTTGTAACTTCGTCCACTTGGAATTTTAGTTTTTTTAAAGGAATTAAAATTGTAAAATAGAAGTAGCCTAACTTTAGGTATCCGAGCATTCCCGTGAAAATCGGATAAACAATAAACATACAGAATTACAGACAGAGAGACGAACAAACATTTTTAAATAAACATTTTGATATTAACTGAGACTGGGCTGAAAGCGCAATAAATATAAAGTCGCTTTCAGCCCAGTTCATCCAATAATTTCAAATTAACAGCATTTCACTAAATTCATGAATTTAGTGAAATGCTGTTAATTTGAAATTACAGACACTTCAATTTTATTTATTTTTAAAGATCGAAATAGAAGAGATATTAAACGTTTCATCATTAATCGATGAACTGGGCTGAAAGCGATTTTATATTTATTTATACTACATAAATACTATTTATACTATTTTCTCAGTTATTTTATATTCATAACATTAATACTACATTTAAACTTTGCTATTCCTAGGTATCGTTTAGAAAGTCTTATCTTTCGGTCTTTTATGGGAATGGGTATGAAATTTTACAATAAGATACCAATAGATATATTGGAATTATCCTTAAATAAATTCAAAACATCTGTTAAATCATATTTACTGAGCATGGCCTATTACTCACTAAACGATTACTTGAATGACGAGCGTGCATGGCAATAGTTGTTCATGTACTGGATTTGTATTTAATGTTTGACATAGACACCTATATAAATAAACAATATATAAAAATAGCTTAAAAAAAAGAATTTCCGTTGAGTTTCTTGCCAGTTCATCTCAATAGAATCTGTATACTGAACTGGACGGTAGGCAACAAATATTAATACAAAAAACTTGACGTGCATAAGCGGCTGAAATGTCCTACATGAATAAATTATTTTTAATTTTATTTGATTTATTGAATTAAAACAATTATTTCAAATAAACTTTTATTAAGCATTGTGAAACACGCTCTTCGCCTTCTTTTCTCGTTTACGCTGCTCTCGCTTCCGCTTTTGCTTCTCCGTGCTTTTGAGAAGCTGCTTGATCGCATCTTCTGGTTCCAACTTCTGCTTCTTTGCTTCTGTCTGTTCCGATTGTATCTTTTTCTTTTTCGGTTTCTCACTGCCAGAAATATGTAACAACTTATAATACTGTCCCCTGTGCTATTTTTATAGCACAGGGGACAAACGAGCTCGCGGCTCACCTGTGAGTGATTACCGCCGCCCATGATCACCAACACCATGGGAATTGCAAGTGCGTTGTCGGCCTTTTAAGAAGGAATAAGCTCTTTGAAGGTTTCAATATCGTATCGGTTCGGAAATACCATTGCTGGAAGGTGATTCCACAATGTGGTTGTGTGTGGCAAAAAGTTTCTAGAAAACCGCACTGTGGTGGACCGCCATTCATACACATGATCATACTATACCTTCTACAATGCAATACCTTCTTGACAGCTGTTAGTCAGAGGTTTGTTATTAAAAAAAACTAACGGTCCACCTGATGGTAAGTGGTAAACGTCGCCTATATACATAAATAGCACTAAGGATATCACGTTATCATGTGACACCTGTGATACCACTCACGCGTCACCATTCCAGAGTACTAAGCTGTCACGCCTCTTATCCTGTAATTTCACTTCCTAATCTGCACCCTACAACCGAAACAGCTTACAAAGCAAGCTGCTTGACGGCTGATATAGCTGAGACTGAGGTACAGACGTTTTTTTTTAGTCTAACCTAATAATTTCATCATTGCTTCTCCTTTATCCCATTATTTGTGGTCGGCGCAATATGTCATTCTCTTCCACTGCTCTCTATCTATGAACATACTCTTCTTTTATTCATATCATCTTTCACACAATCCATACATCTTTTCTTAGGGCGTCCCCTCCCTTTACATCCATCCACGTTCATATTATACACTTTCCATAAGACATGGTCCTCGTTTCTCCGCATAACATGCCATACTAGCTGAATCTGTTACCTCGCAACTTAATAATTTATAAAATATCATACCCCACTGTCTCCATATTGTCAAACAACTCGTCCAGATCATCATCAATGAGTTCTACTTCTTCCTTCTCTTCTTTCAACTCTTCTTTTACTTCTGGCTCCTTCTTGAGTGGAGTTGACGTTGCGGTTTGTACCAGTACGGCTGATAATTTGGAAGTAAGGTATTGCTGAAAATAGAATAGAAATAATATATATTCATTAACAGTCTCTGTAGTCTAGCAGTTTAGTTTCCATGGTCGGGAGTTTGACTCCCGGCACTATACGAACATTTGTAGTCACGAGTATAACTTATACATTCCATTACACACAAAATAACATACACGAAGGACATAATGCGGTACCCTCAGACTAAAGTCGTATCCGTCAGGCGGGAGTTGTCCTTCAGCCGCTCTATAAGACCTTCCTTTGGTTTGGAGTGCCATCTGCACTCGCGGTGAAAATGTAAAGGCCAGCCGCGGCCTTAGAGTAGTCCAAAAAAAAAGTCAGTAGCAGTTTAGTCGCCAAACAATAAACACTAGGCTTCCAAGATATATCCGAACTCCATTAAATACCTGATGATGCCTCGTTCAGAAGCGAAACATGTCGCAATATGGATGTAAATAGACCCAATAACGGTCTGAATTTGATCACCAATAGAGAAGTTCCTTAACGCTTCCAGTAGCTGTGGTCAGGTTTCCACACTGAATATTTGTGGTCTCACATGCTAATGATAGCGGATTTAAACAAGATAATCTCGCTGAATAAATGCCAAACGGCCACAACGCAAAAAAGACTGACATTTTTTTCCAAAAACGGTATCTAAATGGTTATAATTTTTATATTAAAAAAAGACACCCATGATTCTAACACTAACACACAAAGTAAGATTATTAATTCCAGTCAGTAAAATGACAAGTGCAACTGTCACTGATACAGAAAAGGGTGACCCGCTACAATAGTGATGTTCAGCAATCAATAGACTTAGACATTTAGTCATGCTTCCTTGTATTAATTTCAAAGCCTTTTTTTTTATTGTAATTATTTAATATATACCGTATACGATTTTAGAAATATGGAACTTACCAGCATTTTAAAATTTCTCACGACTCTACATCTTTACAAAATCTGGGAAAATATGTAAAAAGAGATTCAGAGGAATTAACATTAATTAATTTTATTTATATAAAGGCAATTTGATATTGAATAAAAAAAAAAGTAATCTCGACTAACTTTTGATTGTTAAAACTCGATTCTACCACATCACTATATATTTGGGACTAAAAATCTGCAACACTGGAAATGTCATTTTACTGATGGGAATTAATAATCTTACTTTAGATATACCACTTATAGAGCAAGAGCCCACGACGGCCAGACATACGTCATTTTAGTAAACGTGAAAGTTGTTGTATGTGTGTCCCCAACACAGGAAAGAACGATCCCCAAACATGAAACCTGGATCGTGGTTCATTTGGCAGGTAACAAGTAACAAAGGTGTAAAAAAAATCATATCAAATTCGTTATTTTAAGAAACTCCATATTTTCATATATCGTTCGTAGCATTATTATAACTTGCGCTGCTCATTGCCAGACACTTAGTGTGGTTCCAACCCCCCGCCGGACCCCCCTAAACTATATTATTTTATAAATAAACTTACGTCATTTTAATAAAGCTGAACTTTATACATATTATTGAGAGAACTATTAAACTGATTTTCCTAAATTGCCAGACAGTTTTCTTGGTTCGACAACGAGCAGAGCAAGTTATAATACTGTTACGAGCAATATGTGAAAAAATGGAGCATCTTAAAATAACCAATTTGATATGAAATTGTATACACCGTTGTCACCCAATATACGGTTTCAATGAGTCTGGTAGGATAAGGAACCATATATGAAAATATGAATAATATAATAATGCTACGAACGATATATGAAAATATGGAGTTTCTTAAAATAACGAAATTGTTATGAAATTTTTTACACCTTTGTTACCTGCCAAAGGAACCACGATCCAGGTTTCATGTTTGGGGATCGTTCTTACCTGTGTTGGGGACACACATACAACAACTTTCACGCTTACTAAAATGACGTATGTCTGGCAGTCGTGGGCTCTTGGGCTATTATAGATTCCTAAAAAAGTAAAAATATTGCAGCGAAAATTTTGATGAGCTCTCCTGTAAAAATTACCGTTTGTGTCATGTGGCCCTTTGGTATTTAATCAGCGATATAAATCCATTAAGTAGTGAAAAACCAGGTACTCACCTTATAAACCAGTTCCTTGCTCTCATAGCTATGTATTCGTATATGCCTGTCAAGACTGGAGCTGATGATGAGTCTCTCTCCAGGCACTGTTAGGACATCTGTGATGGCCCCCACTGCACCCTTGAACCCTTTGTCTGGTCGTCCCTTGCGAAGGTCCACTTGGTGTAACTGGCCACGTCCAAAACCGACTAGGACGTTTCTAGAAAAAAAAATATATATCTATACATATAAATAAAATTGGAGTGTCTGTAATATTGAAACCGTTTTTACTACATGCATATGAATATAAATACGGTAGACAAAATTTTTACTTTTTTTTGTCTGTCAGTCTGTCTGTTCCGGCTAATCTCTGAAATGGCTGTATCGATTTTGACGGGATTTTTATTGGCAGGTAGCTTATGTAATAAGGAATAAATACGGTACATGCAAAAAACATTTTTTACAAATTTGTCTGTCTGTCTGTCTAATCTCTGAAATGGCTGGACCGAATTTGACCGGACTTTCATTGGCAGATAGCTGATGTAATAAGGAATAACTAACGGGATTTATTGGCAGGTAGTTGATGTAATAAGGAAAAACTATCTTAAAACTTTATTTTAGAAAAATGTCTTTTATTCAAGAAAACTAAAGTTTAATTCCACGCGGACGAAGTCGCGTGTACAGCTAGTGGATAATATAATTGACTAAATCATTATTAGTCTTACTAATATTATAAACACGAAAGTTTGTGAGATTGCGACGGATAGATAGAACTACTAGACAGATTTCAATGAAACTTTACAATTACATAGCACATACATCAGAATAACATATAGGCTATAATTTAAGAAGATATTATGTAAATATAATGATAAATGTCAAGCAAATGTTACACAGACGAAGTTGCGTGGGTCAGATAGTAAATAAATAAATAAATGAATACACAAATAAATAAATACATAAATAAATATATTTACTCACCGCTCGTCAAAGCTAGGCGCAATACACACGGCAGCCATTGCGTTGAAATCAACATTACATACTGGCCGACGCTGCGCACGACTGTCGTACAAACTTGAAAAAAAACATCAAATATATTGCATTTTCACTCTACAGCAGTGTTTCCCAACGTGGGGCCCACGACCCACAAGGGCCCACATGGGGGGCGTGGGCCCCTGTGGGGAGTGAGTTGTGGAGGAGGAATTTAATTGTTAAGGGACACTCACAATGGCACCCCACAAAATAATATAATCTCAGGACAATTCACACAGCGCCATCTAGACCTAAGATAAGTTAACTTTTTTTTTATAACACAGGGGACAAACGAGCATGCGGCTCACCTGATGGTAAGTGATTACCGCCGCCCATGAGCACCCGCAACACCAGGGGAATTGCAAGCACGTTGTCGGCCTTTTAAAAAGGAATAAGCTCTTTTCTTGAAAGTTTCAATATCGTATCGGTTCGGAAATACCATTGCTGGAAGGTGATTCCATAATATGGTTGCTAGCTAAAGCTTGTGTTATGAGTACTAGACAACTGATACAAATACATAGATATTTTTTCTAAATACATACATATTATACATAGAAAACACCCAGACCGACACAAACAATCATACTCATGAATACATGTTTGTGCCGTGCGAGGAATCGAACCTGCGACCGTCGGAAGTATGGCAGTGTATTAACCACTATATCGACCCCCAGGGGTCTATGACAAACTGCAAGGGGTCTTTATAGACCCAACAACAAGATGACCGCTGTTATCAGCGGTCATCTTGTTGTTTTTACTTTGTTTTTAACACTAAACCTTAAAACAGAAATCTACAAAAAATCATTACCAGGTAAGAATGGGGGGTCTACCCAAAACTGAAAAATATGGCGAGGGGTCTACGACACAAAAAAGTTTGAGAACCTCTGATCTAATTAGTAGTAATATTTATTATATAAATCTAAATATATATATCTCAAAGGTGACTGACATAGTGATCTATCAACGCACAGCCCAAACCACTGGACGGATCGAACTGAAATTTGGCATGCAGGTAGATGTTATGACGTAGGCATCCGCTAAGAAAGGATTTTTATTAATTCTACCCCTAAGGGCATAAAATAGGGGATGAAAATTTGTATGAAACTTTGTCAATTTTAAACCGTTCGGGCTGAGACTTTGCATTCATGAAGCTACTGTGACGTACATCCCCTAAGAAAGGATTTTATTAAACTCCACCCCTAAGGGGATAAAATAGGGGATGAAAGTTTATATAAATCTTTTTAGATTTCGACTGATTGAACTGAAATTAAACATTGGAGCTACCATATTGAAGATGTTCGTTTAAATAGGATTTTGATAAATTCAACCCTCATGGGGATCAAATACGGGATGATGCAGGATGTAAATGTATTAGTTTGAACCTATCAGTACTTAATAGAACGAATAAATTAAGACGACCAAAATAACTTTTAGTTCTTTAGGCTACTTTTATTTTAGAAAAATAAAGTAAATTTTCACGCGGACAAAGTCGCGGGAACAGCTAGTTAAAATATATATATAAAATATGTATATAAAATATATATATAAAATATATATATAAAATATATAGGGGACATCCTTAAATTCTTACCGAACATATCCATGCCTGGAGCAGACAGCGACGAGTTTTCCTCCCTCGTTAGGTAAGAAGGTCAGGTCTGATACCCAGACAGGCCTGCGCAACTGTAGCCAATCGTGTGCAAGGTTTTTGGCCGCAAATACAGGTGCCTTTTCCCCTATTTGCCATATTTTCAGGTCATTCTCCTCGCCACCTGGGGAAAATTTATAACAACTACTGTTGACCCGTCAAACGTTATTTTGCCATATAAATTTAAAAGAAAGAAAGAAAGAAAATTGTTTAATTGGTACACTGAAAATAATTTTTAAAATTAAATTTACATTTTATATTAATAATTAGAGTATCAACTAGGTCTCCGCTCAGCATATGTCGTGACGGGGTGCCACGACGCTGGTTTTCAGCGGACACCTTATATACAATAAACATAATAAAATAATAATAATAATACACATAACGTACTTTTGAATAATAATAATCCCAGGACAATTCACACAGCGCCATCTAGACCCAAGTTAAGCTAGCTAAAGATTGTGTTATGGGTACTAGACAACTGATACAAATATATAGATATTTTTTTTTCGTAAATACATACATATTATACATAGAAAATACCCAGACCGATACAAACAATCATACTCACGAATAAAAATGTTTGTGCCGTGCGAGGAATCGAACCCGCGACCATCGGACGTAAAGCGGTGTACTAGACCGCTAGGCCACCGAGGTCGTTAACGTACTTTGAATAAGGGCGAGCACAATAGATCTATACAGGTCGCAGTGTCACAGGTCTTAGCACCTGGTAACAGCAAAACCCCCACAATAATGAAAAAAGGTTTGTGTGTAGGTTATGTATTTTTTAATGCCACATCATTACATAGTATAAAACAAAGTCGCTGTCGCTGTCTGTCCGTCTCTATGTATGCTTGAATCTTTAAAACTACACAATGGATTTTGAAGCGGTTTTTTAATAGATAGAGTGATTCAAGAGGAAGGTTTATATATATAATACATGTACACCCGGATGAAGCCGGGGTGAGTAGCTAGTAATAAAAAAATAAGAATAAAAAGAAAATGCCATTAGGTGTTAAGTCCGCCATATGTACTTTTTACCTGTGTATGACGTGCATTAAAGTTATTTAAATAAATAAAAATAAATAAATAAAAAAGTTAGTCGAAAAATTGTAAACAATTTTTTGGGGTGAACTACCTATAACACTTAGGGAATAAAAATTTGTTATAAAGCGGCTCATAGAGCCCCCTCCGATCGATCCCCGGTCCAATTCAAACGGGGATCGAAATTACAACAGCCTCAGCCGAGGTTCGAACCCCTAGCGGCGACCTTAGACTAAAGTCGTATCCGTCAGGCGGGAGTTTGCCTTCAGCCGCTCCGAAAGTCCTTCCTTTGGTTTGGAGTGCCATCTGCACTCGCCCCCTATAGTCCGGTGATGCTGTAAAGGCCAGCTGCGGGCAGCATTAGTCCGAAATTAATACAAATGTTTGCACCATGCGAGGAATCGAACGTGCAACCATCGGAAGTAAACCGAGGCCGTCGTCATAAATAAGTCAGTATAAACAAGACCCACAATCCATCAGGTAGTAAACCAAACCTGTAGCAAATAGCGCCGGTTCATCCCCACAGACCCTCATGCGATCCATTTTCCCTGCATCCATTGTAGTCTCCGACTTTTTGCTCCATATCTTCACCATCCCACTGGACAGTGCCGCTATGTACTTCCGTTTGTAGCGCCCGAGACCGACCGGATGACCAGCTCCGAAGTCTGCTGTGTATGATTTGGTGAATTCGTCTTGCTGTGTGTTATATACTTGTATCTGGAAATGAAGAGTTGTTGGCAGATTACAGTGTCAGTTGGAGTACAACAGGCCTTTTTTTTTTTAACGTGTGGAAAAATCTTCAAAAGACCGTCACCCCGCCGGAGGGATGGCGAGGTGGTGTGTGGGACTCGTACCCACTAAAAAACTACACGGTATACCTCGAGGTGCCGTGGGCCGAAGTCCGGGGATCGCACTTGGCACTCAACCCAGACTTCGGCGGCTTGGCCTGTCCTGTAGATGTTGTAGGACAGGGCCCCTCTCTCTGGTTAGGGTGCTATGACTTGCACCCTACCTTCTCGTGGAGGCGCGTGGGTACACGCGCGCGCCTCCAGGGGCCTGGTTGTGGGGTGATGCCTCCCTCAAGGCATGCACCCCGGCCCCCGTGGGGGGTAGACTCGGGACGGAGTTGGGCTCGTCCCGACGTCTACGCCTGGTCCTCCGGCGGCGGATCATTGGGGCGGAAGGATCGTACTCCCGGTCCCTCTCCGCCGCCTCCTTCTGCGAAATAACTTCTTCGCAGAAGGTGAGCACTGCCAGCCACGACCCCTCGCTCCTAACCATTGCCCGAACTAAATTCGGCAGCGAGAGGTCGGCCCCCACTTCCGCGACCAAGACGCGGGGAGTACAACAGGCCTGTGCAACTGTAGCCAATCGTGTGCAAGGTTTTTGGCGACAAATACGTGTCTTTTCTCCAAATTGCCATATTTTTAGGTCATTTTCCTCGACATCTTATTTTATCTTATCTGCATTTTATTTTATTTTAGACTGAAAAATATGGCAAGAGGTCTACGACACAAAAAAGTTTGAGAACCTCTGATCTAATTAGTAGTAATATTTATTATATAAATCTAAATATATATATCTCAAAGGTGACTGACATAGTGATCTATCAACGCACAGCCCAAACAACTGGACGGATCGGACTGAAATTATATGCAGGTAGATGTTATGACGTAGGCATCCGCTAAGATCTTATATGCATTTTAAGATTCAACATTCAAGATTCAAGATTCTTTATTTGTAAAACATGTGTGATTACATAATGAGATGATATAAATATAGAAGGAATTTGTCCGACATGTTTAGCCTGGATGGCATACAATATATTTAAATGCTACAATAAAATATTAAATTTAAATGTTAAACAATAATAAAAAAGAATGATGTCGTAACAATACAAAAACTACAACTTAAGTACATATAAAACTAATAAAACATTTCGTCAAAATTTATCATCTAAAAAATTCGATATACTATAATAACATTTGTCAATCAACAACCTCTTTAATTTATATTTAAATACACTTTGGGCTTCTTATTAGTGTAGATATAAAATAAAAGTTCGACTTACGGTTGATAAATATGTATGTATATATTGTCCCAACACGTAAACACAGTTACACTTAGATAGGAAGAAAGTATATACAGTAGAAGGAGAAGAAAGTCACAAGCACAGTAAAGAAATAAGCACAGAATGAATATAAGCACTAATGAATAAGGTGATATAAATGAGAATAAGCAGAGCAATATCAATTACAGTACGGCCGATTTATCAAGCGAGTAGCGAGCGTTCCGCGTCATAGATAGTTCTCGACTGGTTTGGTAATATCGAATTGAATGTGCGCTCGCGCTGTTGGCCGGTTCCTCGGCGCGCTGACTACCTACATAGCGAACAAAAGAGTTGTGACGTCAACCTCTTATTGAGCGTTTCCACTGCACGCTGCAATTGTACTAGACGAACCGGTACGGTTTATTATTGATAAAGTATAAATAAATATTACGTATATATTTATGTATAAGTATATGTATATTGTATATAATTAAGGTTATTATTATTAAATAATTGTATGTAATAAATATTTGTAAATAACTATAAATAAATTTATGAAACTGTGTATTTATGTGTGGGAATCGCCTACAACACTATTGGGAAGGCTCTTCAAGTATTTAGGTAACTTATTATATATTTTAGGTCCCATACATAATTTTATTTTTAATTATTTATTTTGTACACATTACATCAATGGGAGATCTTTAACTTTAGTGTTACGGTACTACGTACACGGTACTGTCCTGGATTTGTAAATAGGGCACATAGGCCGCGGCCTAGGGGCGGCAGATTTCAGAGGCAGGTCGGTCACTCGATTTCAGAGGTTAAGAGTCACTGTTCACTTATTTTTTATACTTCAAATAAATCCCTATAGTATTGCTTTAGTGATAGATAAGAGAGAGAGAGAGAGAGAGAGGTTCTAGCTTCATAGTGTATGTATTGTTGGTCGCACAAATAAATAAATAAATAAGTATGTATGTTTCAGGTGTCCATAATCTATGGTAACTGTTTACCATCAGATCAGCCATATGCTGTTTTGCCACGGTAACACACAAAAAAAAATATTTATATTCAATGACCACAAGCAAGGAATAACAAAGGAACGCTGTAATATTAACAACTAAAATAAAAAAGCAAAAACACAATTATATTGCCAGTCAACAAAATACAATACAATGGAGTTACAAAAACAATAGTAGTTTGAGATACGTAGTAACATATACATATTGTTTGCATAGTCTATACGCAAAAAGGCAGCACCTCAGTGTATTGTTTGCAGCATACAAACAGCAAAGAACTGATTTTCAGGCACTGCCCAGAGACATAATAAAACTCAATAATGCATCCTGCATTATTGAGTTCTTTTTTTATACTAAAATTTGAGAATGTTTGACCGCAATCTCACCTGATGTTAAGTGATTATGTGGTTTAAGCTGTTATGGCCAATTTACACTCAGCCCGAGTGAGCAGGGAAGTGAGCAGCGCGAGAGTGTAAACACGAGTGGAAACACTTCCCATACCATTGGCGCTGCCACTCGCGCTGCCCGGCGCTCCCTCGATTATCGGTTTTTCGTGCGCGAGTCAAAGGACTGGCAGCGCGAGTGGCAGCGTGTTTTTACATTCAGCCCTCTCGCTCAGTTATCGCCCGGCAATATTTCCGGCAGCGCGAGTGGCAGGGGAAGCGGCTGAATGTAAACGTTGTAAGAGGTTAAATGTAAACATTGTAAAGACCAAATTTTGTAAGAGGCAGGAAAAATAGACGCTGGTAAGAGAGTCCAACTCCTTAGCTGCTCAGATAAGGAATGATCAGTAGGGATCCCACTCCAGTGATTACTAGGGATGTTATGGATATGAAATTTCGGATACGAATAGGTTTCGGATATAGGAATGATTATTATACCGGATACGGATGCGGATGTGAAATTATTCCGGATTATCCGTTAGTTTCGGATAATTTCCGTTATGGATATTAATATTTTAAGGAATTTCAAAAGTAAAATACAAATAGTTAATAAAAGAGTTACACAACGTGGCTCAATTAGGCTCCGTCCCTATCTGATGTTATCTGAAACTTTTATTTCGGATTCGGTTACGGTTACGAATATTTTTTATATCGGATATCCGATAGTTTCGGTTACGGTTAAGGAGCATCCCTGGTAATTACCATATATTTTGTAGGCAAGAAAAAAGAGTTTATATTTCTTACCTGTTGATTCCTCCTGCCGAGCAGTATCTCTGTCTGTTCCTCATTGCCCCACACCATGCATGTGAGTGAATCATCTTTTTGCAATGATTTTATATCAACTAAATTTTCTATACATTTCTTATTGTTTTTTGAGATGTCTGTATGATATTTTATATCTGGAATTGAATGTATTACATATATTATTAATTAATATTATATATGCAAAAGTTTGTGAGTATGGATGACTCTTTGATGCAAAAGATACTCAATCGATTTTGATGAATTTTACAGCAATAATCGCTTACTAGCTACTCGCCCCGGCTTCACACGGGTGTACATGTATTATATATATAAACCTTCCTCTTGAATCACTCTATCTATTAAAGAAACTGCTTAAAAATCCCTTGCATAATTTTAAAGATTTAAGCATACATAGGGACAGACAGCCATAGCGACTTTGTTTTAAACTATACTAGCTTCTCGCCCCGGCTTAACCCGGGTGTACATGTATTATACATATATATAAATCTTCCTCTAGAATCACTCTATCTATTAAAAAAACTGCATCAAAATTTAGATTTAAGCGTACATAGGGACAGACAGCGACAGCGACTTTGTTTTATACTATGTAATGATACATCAGAATAACATATAGGCTATAAATTTCATGCAGGTGAAATTGTAGACACTACTTATATCTATAATATACATATATATATGTAAAATTAAATAAATCACTGAATCTTTATATTCTATTATTACATCCTTGACCTGTCTAGAACAGCAGCAAGTTCTATACTACAAAATATATCTAAAGTAGTATAGCATTGTGATTTCTATGTTGATTATCGCATGCCTCTATATATATACTTGTTATACTGTAATTATTATATAAAAAAAACATCTATTAAAAAGAGCAACACACAAGTTTCTTGCTCATTCTTCTTGTGATGAATCTGCATTCCGAATGTGTGGTAGAATCAAAATATGACTATTCAAAAGTGCTTGTAATGAGTTTATTTGAATAAAGATTATTTCTATTTCTATTTCAGTTCAGCAGGGTGCTACCAGTATCTAATGCTGCTCCTACCAGATTTGTGTGGGCAGGGAGAGAAACACGAGCGGTGAAGGTGAGTGTTGATGTACATCAGCAAAAAGCCCCTTAAACCTACACCCGGGTCACGAGTCCCGGGAACTGGGAGAAGTTTCCCTCTCTGCCACACGATGGATACGGCACCAGTATGGTAAATCCATGGAATGTTAGGGGGAAAGGGGATTGTTAGTAATGTGGACTAATAATACCAGTGCTAGCAATGTACCAGGTTGACCTCCACGCGGTTCCCCCTGGAAACCATCGTGGTAAATTCTTGCTGAATTTGTCACGATGTGCTAACTGACCTGACCTCATGCTCATCTTATTATCCTCCACTGGTGCCCCGCCAGCGTAAACCTTTAGCGCAAGCGGGTGCACCATTTCATTATCATCCTTAAAAAAACCATGTAATACTTAGTTCGTCTCGTATGAATGTATTTATGTACTTACGTTTGAATGATCCTATTTTACTACCAACAAATATATCGACCTCTTTATCCTCAGTTAGTAACATTTTGCTATATTATTTATTAAAGAGATATCCTAAAATATAATATTATATACATTCTACGATAACAGAAAACTTAAGAACAAGTGGAACGTGAGCAAATAGACTAAGAAACAGATTACTATTCTTGAGAGAGAGTGTTTATTATTTATTATTATAATATTTAAGAATTAAAACTTTAGAAAAAAAGGTATTGTAAAAAATAAATAAAGCATGGTCCCATCATTCATTATCAGTTTGACACTTCGATTGACAGACAGATCGAAGCAAATGACAGCCATATGGTTTTTTTTTACTAAACACTATATTTTTACGGCTTTGGATACGTTCGTGATGAAAATGTTTCATACTTTAGATTAAAAATACGTAATTTTACCCGATTGATTCAATTGGTTTTTGATATAAAATGTTTATATTTTGAGACTTGAATTTTGTTTATTCAATATCATAGTAAATCATCATCTCAGCCCGGAAGACGTCCACTGCTGAGCAAAGGAGGACATTTTTTGTAATCATGGTCATATCTGTACCGATAACTTTTTGTAATGTTTCTTACATAATTGTCGTCTAAAAAAAAAGGGAACTAAGCCCTTATTAAGATACATAGAGATGGACATGAGTAAAGTGTGAAATAATATAGTTTTTTTTTGGGGTTTTAAATAAAAAACATGTTTGCTTAATGATTATTTTAATTCAGGCGGTTCACATATAATTCGCTATTTTCTGTCAAATAAACTATTACCTTAACAATAAATGGCGTTGAATAAAAATTTATTCAATTGTAAGTCGAAAACGCGCTAGGATTATCGTTATAATACAACTTCGTGTATGTAGGTAGCAGTAAGAAAATGCACTAAGTTATGGGTACTAGATATTTATTTCCAATTAACCTAAAACAATTCACACAGCGCCATCTAGTTAAAAGGTTACTGTGACTGAACCGGGAACACAACGACTATTTAAAATCAAGCTCACAGCGAAGAAGTAACGACTAGTCAAAAGTGACATATAAAGAGATATCAAATGGCTGTATGGGTTGAGTCCTTTTGCCTTTCCCTAAAAAAGGAAAAACCGAACCAAAAAAATAGATATCAAAAATAAAAAAATTATAAAAATAATTATGTTTAATGCGCAAATATAGATGCATATGGCGGACTTGACATCATGAGATATTTTCTCCGTCAATGGGGCAACCAGAGAACTATGTGGGCAGTGCATTAAAAAAAAATGTTTAACATCTATACATATAAATAAAACTGGAGTGTCTGTTTGTAATATAGAAATAAACGTTTTTTACTACTTGCATATGAATATAAATACGGTACATACACCAGAATAACATATTTTACAATTTTTGTCAGTCTGTCTGTCTGTCGGTCTTTTTGTTCCGGCTAATCTCTGAAATGGCTGGACCGATTTTGACGGCACTTTTATTATTTGGGGGGCGATGGTTGCTCGCGTCCGTAGGCACTTACCACCTTGCCAAGGCCCACCCTACACGTGCCCCCCGGGTGGTGCAAAACGAGCAACAACGCCGAGGAACAGGCGGCGGTAAACTATCCTGCATGAGGTCCTCACTGTCCTTGAGGCATTAAATACCCTCTTAAAGCGTGACTATAGTGCTCTGGGAAGGCACTATAAGTATGTTTCCCAAAACCTATACTATGAAATGTTAGATAATGATGAGTGCGTTATGTCATGCGATCCGGCTAACCCCCGGCGCTCCCCGGTACCCGGGCCGGAGAGTGTGAAATATGTAACCGAAGACTCTGCGAGAGTGGACTCCCAGGCTCCCGTAGCTGTTAATATTACTGGACAGAAAAAGTATATACAACAAGCTTTTCATCCAAGCTTGTTCACTACCAGACAAAGGAGTGCGTCTCTAGGAAGTATTGCCGCAAGTGATACTCCAAAAGTTACTAACCAAGGAAATAATCAATCTAAAACTAACGGCCATCCCACCTGGCAAAAAATCCCTTCAGTTAGAAACCCACAGAAAAAACGAAAACTATCCAACCCCCCAGAAACCATAGAAACGGTCAACAGATATGATGGCTTACCAGTAGACCAACCAGAAACAGAACAACAAAAAACTACAAAACCACCTCCTATAATACTGTATGGAGTCGAGGATATTAACAAACTCACAGAACTTCTAGAAAGTGTAGCCAAACGTGACCAATTCTCTTATAAGTTAATCAATCAGAAACAACTCCGCATAAATTGTCATTGCGTTGAAGTGTACAAAAGTGTAATAACAGTTATTAGAGAACAAGGCCTGATTGGACACACCTTTAATAGAAAAGATAAAAGGAACTACAGAATTGTTATTAGAAATCGACATCACAGCACGCCACATACGGCTATACACGAGGCATTCGAGGAAACAGGAAATTCCGTAATTGGAGAAATCATAAATGCTAAATTTGGTCCTGACAAACGTCCAACAACTACGTTCTTTGTTAATCTAACGGCTGGACCGAACAACAAAGCCGCAAAAGATATCAAATACATATATCATCAAAATGTTAAAATAGAGGATCCCAAAAAGAGCCAAATAATAGTCCAGTGCCAGCGTTGCCAGCAGTATGGTCACTCTAAGAACTATTGTATGAGGCCATACCGTTGTGCCAAATGTGGTCAATCGCACAAGACAAAAGACTGTCGGAAAACTGATCGAACTACGCCAGCGACTTGCGCACTATGCCTCGAACCACATCCAGCAAATTATAAAGGATGTGAAGTCTACAAAGAAATATCAATACGCAGGAACCAAAGACATTCTAAACTGCGACCAAATTCAACTGTAAACCCCTTGCAAACAAATAAGTCCAAAAGTGATGTGAATTCACAGACTACAAGCACAAAGCTAGACACAAATATACAGAAAACTTACAGTTACGCAGACATAGTAAAATTTAATACCAGAGATCAACTACAACCGACCCAACTAAACCTCGATAACTCATCAACAATCCAAAAACTTGAAAACATGTTCATAAAACAATCGGAAAAAATAGATTTAATGTTACAACAAATGAGCACCCTTCTGGGTCTCATAACAACCCTAGTGAAAAATACATCTTTACGTCCTTAAAATTAGCGACCTGGAACGTTAACGGGTTGTCTCCCAACAAAAGTGAAGTGGAAACACTATTAAACTTGCACCATCTGGATATATTACTCATATCTGAATCACACTTCACCAGCAATAGTTTAATTAGAATAAGAAATTACAATATTTATAATACTAACCACCCAGATGGCACTGCGCATGGGGGCACAGCTGTAATCATCAGATCCTCAATAAAGCATAATGAATCAATCGCATATAGGACTGATGCAATTCAGGCGACAACTGTCACTGTTCATGATAAACAGGGCGATATCAATATCTCTTCTGTTTACTGCCCTCCAAAACATAAGGTCACTGAAACCCAGTTTACTACGTATTTAAATTCTCTGGGCTACCGATTTATAACTGGTGGGGACTGGAACGCTAAGCATGAACAATGGGGATCAAGACTGATTACAACTAGAGGTAGGGAGCTCAAGAAAAGCATTGACATGAATCATCTTAGCACTATGTCTACCTCTGATCCTACATATTGGCCAACTGACCAAAATAGGCTTCCAGAGGTGCTGGACTTCTTCATAACTAAAGGTCTATCAAGATTACATTTCAAAATAGAGTCTTGCCTGGATGGATCATCGGATCATATTCCTGTTATCTTAACAGTTAGTGCTAGTGTCATCAAATTCAAGAAAAAGCCAACACTCTATAACAAATTTACGGACTGGAATCTATTTCGAGAAATTATAGAAGATCAACTGGATTTAAAAATCCCTCTCAAATCCCCAGACGACATTGAAGACGGAACCACAAAATTTACGCAATTACTACAGGAAGCCTGCTGGAACAGTACCCCGCAACTAAAAGAAAATACTCATAGGCCTATCAACGTTTCAACTGATATGCGCAAGAAAATTCTTGAAAAAAGGAGGCTTCGGCGCGTTTGGCACGCCAGTAGACATCCAACGGACAAAACTGCTTATAACAGGGCGGCGAAATATTTAAAGGATGCGATTCGAGATGAGGAAGATGCAGTTGTGGCAGCTCAAATTGAGTCCCTCACTGCAACTAGCTCAACGAAATACTCTCTCTGGAAAGCGTGCAGAGTACATCAAACTCCAACTGGATTCAAACCCCCAATTCGTTTGTCAAATAATAAATGGGCTAAAACTCCACAAGAAAAAGCAAATGCATTTGCTAACCATCTTGCCTCAGTATTTAAACCTGTTGAAGACGAAAACCTCGTCGAAGAAGGAATAGTAGTAAATGAGACTGTACATCAGGAACAGCAAACGGACCTTCCGCTTAAACTAACGACACCACGAGAAATAAGAATGTTAATTCAGAAAATGGAAGACAAAAAGGCACCAGGCTTTGACCTGATTGACAAGTACGTACTTAAAGAACTACCACGCAAAGGAGTTGTATACCTTACCACACTATTCAACAGCATTATGAGAATTGGACACTACCCGGCTCTATGGAAAGTCTCTCAAATTATTATGATACCTAAATTGGGCAAATCTCCATATGACATCACATCCTATCGACCAATTAGCCTTTTGCCAGTGGTGTCAAAGCTTTTCGAGAAAGTACTCCTTGAACGTTTGACACAAAGGCTCTCTGAAAAATTGGTAATTCCAGACCACCAATTTGGTTTCAGAAAGGAACACTCAACAATAGAGCAAGTTCATAGAGTGTGCAAGGTTGTTCGAGATGCGTTTGAGCGTAAAGAGTATTGCTCCGCAGCATTTATAGATGTACAGCAAGCATTCGATAAAGTTTGGCATGAAGGCTTACTCTATAAAATCAAGAACCTCCTCCCATATAATCTATATAGGCTAATGGAGTCTTATCTCAGGGAAAGGATCTTCCAAGTAAAGGAGAATGAGTACACCTCGGCATTTTACGAAGTTCTGGCTGGGGTGCCACAAGGCTCCGTACTTGGTCCACTACTATATAGTATCTTCACAGCAGATATTCCGGAAACAAAGGGAACAACCGTAGCCACCTTTGCAGATGATACAGCCATCTTAGCTTGTAGTAAAAATCAAGTGGAGGCTACAGATCTGTTACAAAATGCTCTCACAAAGATTGGTCTGTGGTTAAAGCAATGGAAAATTAAATTCAGCGCCTCAAAATCAGTTCACATAACTTTCACCCTTAGAAAAGGCAACTGTCCATCCGTGATGATGGGTTCGAGCACACTTCCTACTTGTGAAACTGTGAAATACCTGGGTATGCATCTTGATCGTCGACTCACTTGGTCTAAGCACATCCAAGCTAAAAGAGATGAGATTAATATCAAATACCGAGAAATGCAATGGCTGCTTGGAAGAAACTCAAAGCTGTCTACTGACAATAAGCTACTCATATACAAGACAATCCTTAAGCCAATCTGGATGTATGGGCTCCAGCTGTGGGGTTCTGCAAGTGTTACCAACATCAACAAAATTCAAAGAGCTCAAAACTACATATTGAAACAAACCTGTAACGCACCCTGGTTTATTCGTAACTCGGAGGTTCATCACTACCTGGGGATCAACTCTGTCAAGGAGGAAATCTCTCAAACAATAAAAAAATATAAAATCAAGCTGGACAGACATCCAAATAAACTTGCTGTTAAACTGACATTGCCTGATTATATGGCACGTCTTAAGAGACGTAAAATACCAGACTTCAACAACCTGGCATAAGCTGGAATATCTGAGGCTGGATTCTCAATGGAGAATCACCTCTCACGATATCAGATAGTCAACAAATCTGCTTATAGTCTGGAAGACTGATTGCATGATATAAATAAAAAAAAAAAACTTTTATTGGCAGTTAGCTGATGTAATAAGGAGTAACTTAGACTACTTTTTTTTAGAAATTTAAATTTAAATTCCACGCGGACGAAGTCGCGGGCAAAGCTAGTTTAAAATAACAATGTGAAAAAAAACTATGATTATAAACAAGTCCATAATCATATATAATACATAAGATATCTGATATAAATACTTAAAAATGTTTTTTGTGCAATATATACATAGAAAACACCCAAACTAATACATACAATCATATTTATGAATACAATTGTTTGTACTGTGCGAGGAATCGAACCCGCGACCATCGGAAGTAAAGCAGTGTGCTTAACCGCTAGAGTACAGAACCCATCTAAATGTGACAATATATATCAACAATATTATAACACAAAAATAAAACATACACCAAAATAACATAGTTTACAATTTTTGTCTGTCTGTCTGTCTGTTCCGGCTAATCTCTGAAATGGCTGGACCTATTTTGACAGTACTTTTATTGACAGGTAGCTGATGTAATAAGGAGTAACTTAGGCTACTTTTATTTTAGAGAAATCCTTCTCAGTAGTAGAACTGTTATATTGGCAGATGTGGTAGTTTATTTATTTATTTATTCTTTTGCATACAAAATTGTATAGATGGCGGACTTGATGCCTGATGGCAGTCTCTACCAGTCAACAGTCGCGTTGATCAGAGATAATAACGCGGTGCACTTTAATAATTAATTAAAAAGAAAATCAAATTTTATACAGAAAAATAATGCATAATATATTGTTCAAAATCTACCCTGTATCATCGTAAGCACAGATTATTATATTAGAGTCCGTTAGTTTTCTGTTCCCGCGTCTTTCCTTCCCCTCCCTTACCTAGTACTGAACTGACTGTACGGCGGCCATGACGCGCGCGCATTGTGTTGTGAATTAAAATAAATTAGAACTGTTAAACCTACTGTGAAACTGGAAAGCTAGCGAAGATATCTTCGAGACCCTGAAGCCCAAGAAATCCGCAGAACCATACAGGTACGTGACTGACGCTTCCACTCATTTTTCACTATATATATACAGAGAGTAAATACCCTAACATTTTGGTAGCAGAGTAAATTCCCTAACATTTTGGAGCTGTAACTTCCGCTAGTGGCGCCACCGTCGTGCGGCGCGTCTATAAAAGGCTGCGAAACCCGGTGTGGGGCCTCCCCTCCGATCGATCCCCCGTCCAATCCAAACGGGGATCGAAATCACGACGGCCTGAGCCGAGGTTCGAACCCCTAGCGGTGCCCTCAGACTAAAGTCGTATCCGTCAGGCGGGAGTTGTCCTTCAGCCGCTCCAAAAGTCCTTGCTTTGGTTTGGAGTGCCATCTGCACTCGCCCCCTATAGTCCGGTGATGCTGTAAAGGCCAGCTGCGGCCAACAGCATTAGAGTACGGAAAAAAGTGTGCGGCCTCTTTTGGTCGACAGACGTGCTCTCAAACGAATCTCCGTATATGCTTTATATAATTTTAGTTCTACCATGTACTGAGTTTGTTAAAATTAATTATACGATTTGTTATAAGTTTCTTTTATTTAATTAAATTTAGAGCACATTCCTAACAATATACTATATATACATATGCAAATATATAAAAACACTAATATACCCAAATAAAATATATATTATGGATTACATATAAATAAAGTAGTGTAGCGTATTAGCATTGAATCTTCACATATTTTTTTTTAATACTACTAAGGTGGTAAACAGGCATACGGCCCATCTGATGGTAAACGGTTACAGTAGCCTGTGGACGCCTGAAACACCAGGGGTGTCGCGCGTTGCCGACCCTTAAGAAACCTTAATATACCCTTCTTGAAAAACCCCATGCTGTAGTCTCGTGAGAAAACCTCGGCGGGAAGTTCATTCCACAATGTAAGTATGCGGGAGGAAAACATGTAATACAAACATTCATTAGTATTTTTTTATATATATATTATGTATGTATTTAACAAGTAAGGGTAACAAGTCCGCATTGAAAAATCTTATTTCTCACAATGGGACCTGCATTTTTTATTGTTAATCTAAATATATATAACTCAAAGGTGACTGACGTAGTGATCTATCAACGCACAGCCCGAACCACTGGACGGATCGGGCTGAAATTTGGCATGCAGGTAGATGCTATGACGTAGGCATCCGCTAAGAAAGGATTTTGATTAATTCTACCCCCAAAGGCATAAAATAGGGGATGAAAGTTTGTATGAAACTTTAATTTTAAACCGATCGGGCTGAGACTGCATGCATAAAGCTACTATGACGTAGGCATCCCCTAAGAAAGGATTTTGATAAATTCCACCCCTAAGACGATAAATTAACGCTATTAATTGAGTAAAAACTAGTTACGTATATAATTTTTTAATATATTTTTAGTGTACAATAATTTGAGGTAGACATTATTTAACCCCTAGATTTAATTCAATTAAAGTGTCCACGTGTGATCATCCGGTCCCAATGTCTAAATTTACTTTCGTTGTGGAGTGACCCACCGATGGGCATGTGGTCTTTAACGTTAAAAAAACTAGTATATATGTACATATATTAGTATTTAATTTTAAACTTTCGTGTTTAATATACATTATTTAAATTATTAACCGGGTCTTAAAAAGGTCAATGAGCACATCGCAGCGGTTAAAAATCGACAACCACACAAATCAGCGATTGCCGGTCATCTACTGAACGCAGGAACAAATCACTGGATTGAACTACATGCGCCTAAGGTCCTCTCTACTGATCGCCACTATTACCCACGAATGGTCCGGGAGGCGATTGAAATTAAAAAACATCCCAATTTCAACAGAGAGGATGGCTTAAAATTATCATCTGCGTGGAATCCAGTCATAAATAAATTCAAGCAAAGTTCAGTAGCATCAATAGTCAATAAGTGTACGGATACCGTGAGTGCTGTGTGTCGCGAACTTTCGTTAAACAATCTAGTGACGGTAGATGAAGAAAAAACTGCTGTCACCTATCTACATTGACATCGCTGTTACTCCAGTCAGCTGGAGCACGATTAGTGCAACCTAGTCGAAACGTCGAGAGAGGTAAATACCTTTATTTGCCATAAAATTATTCGTGTTAAGACCCGGTTAATAATTTAAATAATATATATTAGTATTTTAGTACCCAATAACTTTCCTTAGTTCGGGCCTAGATGGCGCAGTGTGTATTATCCTGGATTGTTATTTTTATTTCAAGTTAGTCATTAGATCCAGCACCCTAATCAGTTGATAGGACGGTTCTCTTTGTCTGTAAGCTGCGGCCAGCCGGGGCCTGTGGTGGCTTGCAGTAGATTCCATAGGGCTTCACTGTTGCCTCCAGCGGTCATATCGATTTCAAAAGGCTGTAGTAACTTGCGAGCTTCATTTTTGATAACTGAATTTTAAGTAAAGGTATCATATTTAATTAAATCTTCAAATTTAAAAAGACCTATGTATACCTTACCTTACCTTTTACCTTTCTGTTGGTTGACCTACAGCTAGTAGGTAGGATTTGATAAATTCCACCTCTATGGGGATACATTAACGCGAGCGAAGCCGCGGGCAAAAGCTAGTTACAGGATAAGAGGCGTGACATCTTAGTGTTCGGTATTTATATTACTATGAATGAAGAGGTCTTAGATTTTAGGAATGGCAACTCTATATAATTGTCATTGTGTGATACTAAATAATATAGTCAAAGTATCAGGACAACATGAGCTTGTAGAAAGTTTTCCATGGCAGTTATATTACTGTACATACTCGTACGCGTGGGTACCGCAGTCTCAACTATTTCAGCTGCCAAGCAGCTTGCTTTGTAAGATGTTAGCGTTAGCGCAGGCGAGTGCACCATTTCAATATGATAAAAAATAAAAGGATACATCCTTTCGCCACGTTAGGCGGCGCGCTAAAGTCCAGCCGTATGCCTGTTAGCTCCTTAGCCAGCTGATATGTCTCTCTGTAAACATAAAACATATTGATTTTATTATAGATTATATGATATATATTGTCGCTGGACAATTAACACAGCGCCATCTAGTCCCACAGTAAGCAGAGCTTGTGTTATGGGTACTAGACTACTGATACAAAATATATATATTTTTTTTCTGTGTCTATCCTGCAATCAGTCGGAGACTACGAACAGATGTGGTGTAGGTGTTACATCGCGGGTAGAGAGTGATTCCCAGCAGAATCATAAATATATAGACTTTTTTTTTATAAATACATACATAATATACATAGAAAACACCCAGACCGATACAAACAATCATATATGAATACAAATGTTCGTACCGAACCCGCAACCATTGGAATTAAAGCAATGTGTTAAACTGCTGGACCACTAAGATCTTCAAAGTTAAACTTACTTGGCATTGTCCAAGCGTTGCTTGTCGCTGTCTGTGATGGAGAGTGTGCTCAGCGCTGAACATACGCGGTCCAGCTCCCCGCCGCGCCGGGACAGCTCCGACAGCCTCTCACTCAGCTCCAACTGGAATGTAGATTAGATAACTAATTATTTTGGGGGTAAAGTGGATTGTTAGTAATGTGGACTGATGATTTTATTGCTAGCAATGTACCATGTCTGCTGACCTCCACGCGGTTTCACCTGGAAATCATTGTGATGAATTCTTGGTGAATTTGTCACAAGGGGCTGACTGACCTTACATCATCATCTTGTCTGCTGAACAAAGGCCTCCTTGAAAGATCTCCACGACGATCGGTCCTGCGCTGCTCGCATCCAATGCTTTCCAGCGATTTTGACCAGATCGTCGGTGCACCTTGCTGGAGGCCTTCCAACGCTGCGTCTTCCGGTCCGTGGTTGGCACACGAGGGCTTCACGGCCCCAATGGCCATCTGTCCTACGAGCTATGTGCCCTGCCCATTGCCACTTCAGAGTCGCAATTCTTCGGTCTATGTTGGTCACTCTGATTCTTCTGCGGATTTCCTCATTTCTGATTCGATCATGCAGAGAAACTCCGAGCATAGCCCTCTCCATCGCCCTCTGACTGACGTTGAGCCCATAGTTAGCGACCATGTCTCTGTGCCATATATCATCACTGGCAACACATATTGGTTGTAAACCTTCGTCTTGAGACACTGTGGTAATCTGGACGAAAATATATATCGGAGTTTCCTGAACGCTGCCCATCCCAGTTGGATTCCACTATTGACCTCTTTCTTACCTTATGCTCTACTGGTGCCCCACCAGCGTTAGCACAGACAGGAAAATAGAACCTTCCATTGTCATCCATTAAAATAAATGGGCCTATTCACACCGAGGATGTCATATCCTCGGTGTCAGGCTATGGTAACCATTTACCATCAGATGAGCTAATTATAGCAGTAAAATAAAAAAAAAGTGACTGTTCAAAAGTGCCTCTATAAAGTTTATTTGAATATAGATTATTTCTATAGCATAAAAAATTAAATTATATTTTTTTTATGTATGACTAGCTGCACCTGCGACTATGTCTATGTGGAATTGAACTTTATTTTTCTAAAATAAAAGTATTTTCTAAATTCAAAGTTGCCTAAGTTACTCCTTATCACATCAGCTACCTGCCACCCCATCCCCATAAGTCTCGTCAAAATTGGTCCAGCCATTTCAGAGATTAGCCAGAAGAAATAGATAAATTTATGTATATGCATGTGCAATTATAAATAAATAAATAACTTTATTTTTTTAAATAATAGTAGCCTAAGTTGCTCTTTATTACATCATATACCTGCCAGTAAAACTCTCGTCAAAATCGGCCCAGCCATTTCAGAGATTAGCCAGAACAAACAGACAGACAGAGACACACAAAAATTGTAAAAAATGTTATTTTGATGTATATACCATGTTTATATTCATATACATGTAGTAAAATGTAGTAAAAATTGGTTATTTCAATATTACAAACAGACATTCCAATTTTATTTATATGTATAGATAATGGAATGATTCACCTGGCTGTGCTAATGGTTTACACAGGCGAGGAAGATGAGAAAAGATTAGGTAAGGTCAGTCAGCCCATTTTGGCAAATGGCAATTTGCCGTGACAGGCTCCCAAGAGGAACCGTGTGGTGGCCAATCTGACATAGCTAGCAATGAGTTCATTAGTCTACATTACTAACAATCCCCTTACTCCTTTTTTTGTTTTTAATCTAGATTTAATATTCCTTCTAAATTTATTTTGGGGTTTTTGTTTTCAGTCATGTCAACCCCATTATTGCAAACTAATCGGAACAATTCTTAAAAATAATAAACAATCAAATAATTGCCAACTGCGAGGGATCTATTTATTAAGTTTTTATCAGCGCACACAACCGCATAGCAGGGGCATGTGGTATGCTCTGAATAGTACCCACAACAAATTTGTTGATTTTAAAATCTTTAATAAATAGTTCTCTCTCTCTATTCTTATCACATTCCATCAAGAGGTGCTGGAGATCTTCGACTTTTTTTACACAACACAGTCGGTGAATTCTCCTTTTTCACTAAATATCCGTACTTTCTTGATGGATAGTGACCGGTGGGCTAATTATGTAACACGATATGAAATTGTTTCTGTTGAAGTTGTGATGCAATATGAAATCATTTCAATTTAAAAAATGCTATCAAGTAAGGTCGAATGACCGCAACATAAATCATTTCTATCGATAAAACACTACTATGAAGTTGTAGCGGAATATTGTTAATCCGACCAATTTAAAAAGTCAGTACATTAGATAGCTTATACCTTTATAGGGATACATTTTAATTTATTGGGTTTTTACACTAGTTGGTTGATTTGAAACAATTTTTATTGCGTTCAAAAATTACAAAATATACTGCAGCGTTCACTTGTTCTTTTATTTTAATTTTATTAATAGACATTTAATAAAATAAAATAAAGAAAGTCTATTCTATTCTAATGAAAAAATAAGGTTAATAATTTTGAATATAAAAGCATATTTTATACAAACTATTTATAATCATTAATAATATTAATCTAACCTACAAATTAAATTTTCTTTTCTGCTATAGATACCTAGGTAAGTACGTAGGTATCCATATAAATTTAAAATGATATGGGCACATCTTTTTAAATTTGTACATAATTGTAAAAACTTTAAACAAATAAATTTATTTACTTTAAACAAATCACAGAGCATCATAAACGTTGTATTCCGTTCACAGAGCACCGTATTCATTGAAATAGTTTTTTAATTATATTAATATCATAATCAACCCTAATTTTATATTAAACATTTACTCTAGTTAATACAACATTCTATGTGATTTGGGACGAAAATAAAATATCGAATTGGCAACACTGATGTCGTGTTGTGAGTCGTGACAATTTTCCCATTTTAATAAATTTAAAACCTTTTCACGACTTTCTACGTAATATTTAATATAATAAAAATATATGTAATACTGAAAATTACCAAAACAAGATAAATAATGCTGCTAATGCTGATATTTTAAAGATTGTAACCAAAAGAAACACCTTCTAAATTGTTTCTCATAATGTAAAAACCGTTTCAATTCCACGCTGTCATTTCGGCAAAATAGCGATTACGTGACATTGCAACGAGGTTACTAAATCGACATTCGATAGAAATAATTTTTATCGATATGTAAAGTTGCGTTTACGTTGCAATGCTAATTGACAGCGTCAAATGGCGTCTATATGATCGCATTATTGACAGATGACGTCATTTTCACTACGTTACATACGAAAATCGTTGCGAACGAAGTTACATAATTAGCCCACGGATCGGATTCTAAATAACAATTTCAATTTACATCTGTTTGATTTTGCATCAGTAAACCAGGGAAGCTGAAGAGGCTCACACTGTATTGTTTTATACCAAATACCTTTAGTTTTTGAACTCTCATCAAAATATTCCTTCCGTTGTAATTGGCAGTTTTTTAAATTTAGGTAGTACTTCTGAATGTCTACGACTAACATTTCCCTTCCTCCTTGAAAATTAGACTACACATTGCCATTATGATGTAGGATATGTTTGACTGTTAATTACAATCTAGCGGAAATACATCCTTAAAACTCTGGATCACAATTATCACGTCCCGTTGTTTTAGCGTATATGAGAAGATTTAAACTTACGTTAAGCTTCATTTCATGTGCTAGTTTTGTCTCCAATTCAGTCTTTTTTCTACATTCTTTCAATTGTTGTTGTTCTTTAGCTATTTTCTCTGAAAATTTAAAGTTACATCATAAAAATTTTAAATCACTATTAACATCCACAAAGTATTAATTACACACCATCAACTTGGTTACAGAAAGCATCTAATTGCTCCACGATATTCAAAAACCATTGTTCTTTTATATCAACTCCCATTTTTAGTAATATAATTGTAAAATACTATTCTTAAACAATCTGAAACAATTTCAAGACAAGTTTGCAATTTTAATACAAAATTTGTAAACAAATAACGGAAACGAATGTCATTTTCAAATTTAGAACGAATATGACAGTTTTAATTTACATAGAGTAGTTGTGTGCTTTAAGATACAGATTATAATCGATCGATTTATAAAATTATATTTATTTGTTTAAAAATATTTCTATATTAAATTTAATATTTCTTTTAGTATTTATTAGTAGTTATTTATTTATATTCTTATTATGACAGTATATAAAAAAGACACTATGTCTTTTTTTAAATGTACCTTAGCACCATAACTTTTCACACAAATACAAATCAACAAATATATATTACTTAATAAACACTAGGTTAATTGAAATAAAAATAACCCCAAACAAATTTCAGTCGTCAATATTGATAACAATTTATTTCTTATTATTTATTTATATCACATTGTGTGTTTATCCGAACGCTATTGAAAACAAAAGCAACAGTGTCGCCGCGTACTGTCAATTTGTAGAACTAGTTTTATCGCCATTTTTGTGATGGCGGCTGATATTTATAGATCGTGAGGGTGTTGTTATTTATTGTTAAATGCATTAACATGGAGGAAACGAAAGTTATTTACTATATAGACGACGAGGAGACGCCGTATTTAGTTAAAATCCCCATATCACCAGAAAAGGTGACGTTATTAGACTTTAAAAATCAACTAAACAGGCCGAACTATAAGTTTTTCTTTAAATCTATGGACGATGATTTTGGTGTTGTGAAAGAGGAGATAGTGGATGATAACGCGCATCTACCGTGTTTTAACGGTCGTGTGGTGTCGTGGCTGGTGTCTGCGGAGGGCTCCAACCCTTCTGACGGGGCGTCTCAGTGTACGGATAGTAATGCTGGGAAGACTAAACAAAACAATCATGGGGCTGGTACGGCGCCCCTCACGAGGGATACCTGCACTGATACGGACAGCACGATCAGCTCCCGACCCGGGCACAGAGCGTCCTGTGATAAATACAAGTATAGAGGCCTACGCATAAACGGCCATTCCAAATATGGAAACCACGGGTTAGAATACGAGACTGCATCAGTTCTAAGTTCAGATCTGGACTCGACCAGTCTATTCGATAGTCAGTCAGAGATCACTACGACTACGGGGCGGCATACGAACGCGTCCGTGGACAGAGCCCTAACAGAATGCAGCAGTGTGTCCCACCTACAAGTTAGTTCCCGAAAGCGGCCGCAGAGAAGACGAAAAAGACCGCAAGTCATGTCCAGAACCTCTTCATATTCATCGATAACTGATTCTACAATGTCTATGCATATAATAACGGTGACTTTAAATATGGATACGGTTAATTTCCTTGGTATATCAATAGTGGGACAGTCGAACAAGGGTGGTGATGGGGGAATCTATGTGGGGAGCATCATGAAGGGCGGAGCGGTGGCGCTGGACGGTAGGATAGAGCCTGGAGACATGATATTACAGGTAAGTCCGTTCTTATCCGTAGGAATAAAGTGTTGATCCTAACTGGACAGTAGGACAGTGATAAAAAAAATAAGTTGATTGACATAATGCAGTCATTATACCTATGTAATACAGAATAAATGTATTATTATTATAATTGAAAGAGTCCTCAATGTATTAAATACTTGACTTTATCCAAATTTATTTATTTATTATAATTAATAATAATAGTAATAATAATAATAATATTTATTCATGATACACATTTACATTTTAATACAATTGAAAGAAGATATCCTCAATGTATTAAATATTTTGACTTTATCCAAATTTATTTATTTATTTATTATAATTGAAAGAAGATATCCTCAATGTATTAAATATTTTGACTTTATCCAAATTTATTTATTTATTTATTATAATTGAAAGAAGATATCCTCAATGTATTAAATATTTTGATTTTATCCAAATTTATTTATTTTTAGGTTGATCCAAGAGATTTCAACTAATTATCCCCAATGTTTTAATATTATTTTTTAATATAATTTAATAACTACATTGTTAACAATGCAGAATGTGAATTTATTAATATGTGCTACTTTGAGAATGTAAATGTAAAATTTTCATACAATACATGTGAATGAGGACCCTGTTCACATGACAATCTGACAATCACTTGACAATATTTCAAAGCTCATGATTTTTATTAAACTTTCACTATTGTTGTACCAAAAGTTCATCTTTTCACCTTTGAAGACTGGTAGAACTCTCGCCATGGGAACCATACCAAAAGACCATGCAATAAAGATAAATCAATATTATAACTTATCATTACATAGTACAAAGCAAAGTCATCTGTTTGTCCCTAAAGCATACAGCTTAAATCATTAAAATTACGCAATAGATTTTGAAGAGGTTTTTTTAAATAGATAGAGTGATTCAAGAGGAAGGTTTATATGTATAATACATGTACACCCGTGTGAAGCCGGGGCGAGTAGCTAGTAACTAATAAAGTAATAAACGAAACAAACTTTCAGTCTAAATAGAACAGTGAACAATATTTAAACAATATTTGGTATATTTTTATATTTTTAGCAATATATATAAATATACCAAAATATAATGCACATTCCTATACAATAAATAGGTTCTAGGTTGTCAGTAAGAGATTGCATTTAGCGATAAGACCACCTTTTGTTATTATTTTACTATTTACTGTATTTTCTTATTATTTTATGTGTACACAATAAAGAGTTTTATTATTATTATTATTATTATTATTAATAAATTAAGAATACAAAACCCGTTTTAAAAAGTGTATAGTGTATTTGGTATATCTTGATTTTTTTTATAAGTGTGAGCACTATGCAGGTTGCAGGTGCTACAGATCCAAGCACCTTTTTTTTTAACGTGGGCGAAAATAATGTGGACACCCGCCTGTCTCAGGGGTTGGACGGACGGGTACTGTGAGACTCCTCACCAAAAACCCCACGATATTCCTCCTCGCCGCCATAGTGCCAGGCTCACGGGATCGGACTGGCAATCAATCGCGACCCTAGCGGCGGTTGCCCGCAAGCTGGTCCCCCTCAACGCGTGGGAGGAACTCTTCCCAGTTCCCCCGCCTCCACCCACCGTGGGGAAGACGCACCGGAATACAGGTTGCGCCTCACCCCCATCTGGTCCCTGTTGTGTGGACGGCAGGCTTGAGCCCCGAGACTGCCGCCCACACAGAGCCGCACCCGCTCCGCACGTGTTATCCGTGTCCCGTCAAAATCGGTCTACAAGAGTAGAGTCATAGCAGGAGCGGGCCAACAACGCCACGCTTAACAGACGAGACGGGCCCCATCTGTACCCATTGTCCCAGCCTGCGCCGCCCCCCTTCACCGGACTATCCGCCGACATAGCAATATCCCGAAGGAACTACTACTATCCCGCCCAGGGCGTACCAGAACCAAACCATTGCTCAGCCACCGTTCCCCGCGGACGTATCTACAAGGGTGGGGATACCTCCCAATGGCTGGAACATACGAGCAGATTGTCCGACCTCACGCCCCAAAGGTCCAAGCACCTGACCACAGTCCAAGCAACCCAATAAAAAACCACTTACTGTCAGGTGACCTTTGTTGCTTTGACAGCTTGTTTCCTATTCCAGCCTACATGAATATAATAAATAATGTTACAGGTGAATGACGTGAACTTTGAGGATATGACGAATGATGAAGCGGTTCGTGTGCTCCGGGAAGTGGTGCAGAAGCCGGGCCCCATCAAGCTGGTGGTAGCCAAGTGCTGGGACCCCAACCCTAAAGGGTACTTCACAATACCCAGGACGGAACCAGTCAGACCCATAGACCCTGGTGAGTATAGAGATGACAGTTTTTTTTTATTCTGTGTTGTGAGTATATTTTTGCCAACGTAGACTTTGTATAAAGTGGATCTCACAACTTAAATAAAACTTTTTTATATATATATTTTCTCTATATGCACTGTTGAGTAAAAAGAGATAACTAAGGACAAACCTGGTTCGCGTCGTCCCCGCGTGTAGGTCTTATATAAGTGTAGCCGTTTCACTTTAAAAAAGCTAAACACTACGATGATTTTCACTGGATGATGTACTGATGAGATGATTGCGCGGAGATGGCGGCTGGTGGTTTGGTTTACGTTGGTTCGCGGAGAAAATGTGGAACTGCGTGTGCTCGACGCGACTTACACCGAACTACTCTGGTTTTGTTGATCCTACTCCCAGATTTTATGGATAAAAATTAGAGTAGGATGTAGGGTAGTAACATATTGCAAATTGGTAAGAAATAGGTAAATTTATATCAACCAATATTAATATCATGCTATATTTTGTTGGCACGATTTTGTCCGCGTGGAATTTAACTTTGTTATTCTAAAATAAAAGTAGCCTAACAACAGCTACCTGCCAAAAAAAGTCCCGTCAAAATCGGTCTAGCCATTTCAGAGATTAGCCGGAACGAACAGATAGACAGACAAAAATTGTAAAATATTATATTTTAGTGTATGTATTGTATTTATATTCATATACATATAGTAAAAATCGGTTATTTCACTATTACAAACAGACACTCCAATTTTATTTATGTGTATAGATTAATTTATATGGCAAAACAATGTTTGCTAAGTCAACTAGTAGCGGTATCAAATGTACTAAATCAAATCTTGTCTACAACCATTGATGTAATGTGTACAAATAAGAAATAATACTTAAAATAAATAAAATAAATATATAAAATAAATAAATAAAATGAGGATCACGTGATTTTTGGACGGCTCCTATGAAGATTTTCTCCCCGTTAAAAAAAGGCAGCCAGATTGCCAAAATCAGTTACAAGCAAATATACCTACCCTGCGAGAGAGTTGAATCGAAAAATGTGGTATTGCAGGCGCGTGGGTGGCTCACACGCAGGCCCTGCGCGAGGCGTACCCGCCGCCGCCGCCGTCGCTGTCGGCGCTGCCCGCGCTGCCCGGCGGAGCCCCCGGGCCCGCGTCGGAGGCCCCCACGCTGGCGCTGGGCGCGGAGCCCCCGCTCTCCGTCGCCATGGACATGGCGCTCGTCGTGCGCGCCATGCTGCGCCCGGACTCCGGTACGTGCTCTTCTCAAATCTAATAAGTGATTCATGTAGAACATTTTAGCCGCTTGTGAATGTCAAATTTTTGTATTAATATTAGTTCCCTGCCGTCCAGTTCGGTATACAGATTCAACTGAGATGAACTGGCAAGAAAGTCAACTGAATTTCTTTTTTTCAAAAGAGCAACACACAAATTTCTTGTGATAAGTCGAGTTCCGGATGAGTGGTAGAATAAAAAGATATGACTATTCAAAAGTGCTTGTATTGAGTTTATTTGAATAAACTGCGCTAACGGTTTACGCTGGCGGGGCACCAGTGGAGGATGATAGGATGAACATGAAGTCAGATCAGTTAGCCCAACGTGACAAATTCACCGGGATTGTATCACGATGGTTTCCAGGGGGAACCGCGTGGAGGTCGATCTGACATGGTACATTGCTAAGAATAGGTCAACTTGTTACTCCCAAGTCAGCTTGTTTACATTGTGAACTTATGTAGGTCTATGTCTAACATTAAATGAAAATCCCGTGCATGAACAACTGTTACATCACCCGCGTTTTCTTTCTTTTTTAATAATAATAGGTTATATCAGTTAACGCATCATGGCAAATTAACACGATAGCTTCCAGAGGAATCGACGATGCCTACATTACATTTGTATTCATGAGTATATGACTCGTGGATACAAATGTTTGTACCGTGCGAGGATTCGAAACCGCTACGCCATCGAGACCGTCGAACTAACAACTAATGAATGTTATTCACCCTCACATACGTACGGAATGTACATAAAAAACATCCAGATAGGTACAATCATTAATACAAATATTTCTACCCTGCGAGGTTCGAACCCGCGACCATCGGAATTAAAGCCGTCAAAGTAACGATAAATAACTGTGTTTGTTCCAACATCCTCAGGTCTGGAGATCCGAGACCGCATGTGGCTGAAGATCACCATTCCGAACGCGTTCATCGGCGCGGATGTGGTGGAGTGGATCCTGCAGCACGTGGCCGGCGTGGCGGACCGCCGCGATGCCCGGAAGTACGCCTCGCATATGCTCAAGGTACGGAGATTTTTTTTATACCATGTAGGTGGCAAATAAGTAATAAATTCGACCCATCTGATGGTAAACAGTTACCATAGCCTATAGACGCCCGAGACTTGGACTTTTGATGGTTATAAGATTATATACGTCGATACGGCGTTTACAGCTTCACCGGACGTTAAGGGGCGAGTGTAGATGGCACTCCAACCTGCGGGAGAACTAATGGAGCGGCTGAAGATCAACTCCCGTATGACGGATATGACTAGTCTGAGGGGATCGCTAGAGGTGGGAACTTCAACTTAGGTCGTCGTAATTTCGATCCTCGTTTGAATTGAACGTAGGATAGATTAGAGGGGCGAATTAGGCCGGTTTGATTAGGCGTGATTGGGGTCGTCGTCTTCGCCGGCGAGGACGGTGTCATGTCGTTTCATGTCATTTCACTTTTTTCTTCCAAAGAGGTATATAACATAATTATAGAATTATTGATAATATAATTTATATATTGTCTTTGCCCCTTAATCAGGACTTCCTTTTAGAAATTATATTTAATTGCTGCTAAAGCACGCACGATTGAAGGATGTGGAATGCGCGCGCGGTCTTTTTCGCTCTCGTCTACATTTACATGCACATTATTTCCTGCGTTAGAGACGATTTACGAAAGACTTATACGCTCTTACGTAAATCTGCTTTCTTTTCTTTGGTAAGGCAGCTGTTGATGTAACGTATTGCGCAGGCGGGGTTCATCAGGCACACGGTGAACAAGATAACGTTCTCGGAGCAGTGCTACTACGTGGCGGGCGAGCTGTGTGCGGAGCTGGCGGCGCTGAGACTGCGGCCGCACGACGCGGACAGCCTCCTCAGTGACACGCTGGCGCCCCTGCCCAACCCCAAGTACGTGACCCCCCGACCCCCCACACACTGTACATACACTAGCGGAGCTGGCGGCGCTGAGACTGCGGCCGCACGACGCGGACAGCCTCCTCAGTGACACGCTGGCGCCCCTGCCCAACCCCAAGTACGTGACCCCCCGACCCCCCTCACACTGTACATACACTAGCGGAGCTGGCGGCGCTGAGACTGCGGCCGCACGACGCGGACAGCCTCCTCAGTGACACGCTGGCGCCCCTGCCCAACCCCAAGTACGTGACCCCCCGACCCCCCTCACACTGTACATACACTAGCGGAGCTGGCGGCGCTGAGACTGCGGCCGCACGACGCGGACAGCCTCCTCAGTGACACGCTGGCGCCCCTGCCCAACCCCAAGTACGTGACCCCCCGACCCCCCTCACACTGTACATACACTAGCGGAGCTGGCGGCGCTGAGACTGCGGCCGCACGACGCGGACAGCCTCCTCAGTGACACGCTGGCGCCCCTGCCCAACCCCAAGTACGTGACCCCCCGACCCCCCCACACTGTACATACACTAGCGGAGCTGGCGGCGCTGAGACTGCGGCCGCACGACGCGGACAGCCTCCTCAGTGACACGCTGGCGCCCCTGCCCAACCCCAAGTACGTGACCCCCTGACCCCCCTCACACTGTACATACACTAGCGGAGCTGGCGGCGCTGAGACTGCGGCCGCACGACGCGGACAGCCTCCTCAGTGACACGCTGGCGCCCCTGCCCAACCCCAAGTACGTGACCCCCCGACCCCCCTCACACTGTACATACACTAGCGGAGCTGGCGGCGCTGAGACTGCGGCCGCACGACGCGGACAGCCTCCTCAGTGACACGCTGGCGCCCCTGCCCAACCCCAAGTACGTGACCCCCCGACCCCCCTCACACTGTACATACACTAGCGGAGCTGGCGGCGCTGAGACTGCGGCCGCACGACGCGGACAGCCTCCTCAGTGACACGCTGGCGCCCCTGCCCAACCCCAAGTACGTGACCCCCCGACCCCCTCACACTGTACATACACTAGCGGAGCTGGCGCCGCTGCCCAACCCCAAGTATGTAACAAACTTGGGTTTAAAATAAAACAACGTACTCTCATTGACTAGTGGCACAGATAAAAAATATTTATTTAAAACAGAAAAAACAAATGTGTCTACCGACACTACACGACAGATGGCACCAATGTACATGCCATTGTATTTGTAGCCTCCTAAGACCCCAACGTGTTAAACCTGGTCACCGTCCATCGACCATCTACCGTCACTTACAAGCGGTCAGAGACGTTATCGTTGTGTTTGTCCTGCAGCATGATGGCGGCCGGGTACATGCCGTACGCGGGCTCGTACGGCTACCAGCCGATACCGTTCAAGTACACCTCGTGCGTCACCAGCGAGCACACCATATACGGGTGAGTTGTACACCGGCAGTACACATTTTTTTTTATATCAAAGACAACACCGGCAATAGCATGCTTTTTTTTTGTTTCAAAGACAAATTTGCTATTGCCATGTTGCCAGATTCTTAAATAGTGTTGTGCCACTATCGGAAATTAATATTAATAACCGATTTGGAACATTCTAATAATATGTGGGTATTCTTTTAACACATAATAAATAGCTCTACTTTGTATATATATTTTTTTTAATTCACATATATTTTACTGAAACAAACACTAACTGTTTTTTTTTTTATAAAACAAATAACCTTCATTGGTTCATTTAATACAAAAACAGTAATGGAAACACTAGTGTATTACGTATAAAACTTTAAACCTAATATTCTAAAATATATCTGATTAAAGATATCGATACAGCAGGTACACCACTACCCCGCTGTACATGGTAACATTATTTGAAAAATTGACATTTATACCTGTCAATTTAGTCTCCGGGATTAAAAAACAAATTACACGAACTGCTGGAGCCAAAAGAAAATTAAAAAAAAAGAAATTATAGATATAAATTGATATTTTCCTTTCTTTAATATGTATTTATTTAAAAAATTACAATATATTTTTTTCTATATTTTATTTCACTAGTAAATTGTTAAAAATAAATAAATTGTACATATGTTGACCATTCCAATGACGTAAAATAAATGAGTTTATTCAACTCTCGTATAGATATAACAGAGGACGACGCTTACCGCTTACCATCAGGTGGGCCGTAAGCTTGTTGCTCATTCGATTGACATAAAACTAATGAGTTTGTTCAACTGTTGTATAGATATAACAGAGAGGAGAGCGTTTTGTCCGGAAGTGGAGGCTCCAGTGCTGGATCTGATCACCTCACCGCCAAGGAGCTCGCTGGTGAGTACCGCTCACTTATTTGATCATCATCATCATTATCATCGTGTAAGCCCATTTTTAAAAATAAATTATTTAATTTTCTCTTGAGTCACCGAAATGAGTTATAACTGTATTGCATTGTATTAGTATAATCTTATATATAAAATTCTCGTGTCACAGTTTTCGTTCCCATACTCCTCCGAAACGGCTTGACCGATTCTCATGAAATTTTGTGAGCGTATTGAGTAGGTCTGAGAATCGGCCAACATCTATTTCTCATCTCCCTAAATGTTAGGGGTAGTCCACCCCTAATTTTTTTTTTTTTAAGGTAAAACAACGTTTGCCGGGACAGCTAGTATTTAACTATATTTAACATTAATGTATGACATTATATCATATCAGGTATACTATATATATTATTATATGTATATATTTATTTGCATTTCATATATATTATATCATATTTATTAGTAACTTTGTGATTGTTTTTTGACATAACTGCTCCGCAACGCTTTCTGTATACCTGAAGGTTAGCTGCTGAAGAATGCCATAAGGTATTAAGCTCGCCTTTGTACAAGTTATATTGTGCATTAAATAATAAAAAATAAAAAAATTATCTGCTTCTTCCTTATCCCATTTATTTGTGGTCGTCGTAATATGTTTTTCTCTTCCATTCATCCCTGTTCGCAGTCATCGCGTTATTCACTCCCCATTCAATCTCGAGATGGTTTAAAACCTCTGAGGGCGAGGCGAAGCCCATATTCAGCAGAACAGTGATTTCATATAAAAAAGCTTTGAGCTGTCAGTTAAAAATATGCTCTAATTCCATGTAGAGAAGGCTGCTTTTAAAGTTTCACGTTTCATTGTCGAAAGAGCGAGGTCTATTCTACATGGACCGGCTCGGCAGTAAATTCATTTATAAAAACGTTGAACTGTAGAGACGGACGCTTTTAAAACTTCTCGTTTCCAAGTCGAGAAAGCGAGGTGTAGTCCACATTGTCTCAGTGACGATTTCATTTATAAAAAACTTTAAATTGTCAGTCGAAAATATACTCTACATCCATGCCATACGGCCGCTTTTAAAAATTCTCGTTTACAGGTCGAGAAGTCGAGAAGTTCACATCAAGTGTCTCACTGACGATTTCATTTATAAATAGCTTTAAACTGTCAGTCGAAAATATACTCTACATCCATGCCATACGGCCGCTTTTAAAAATTCTCGTTTACAGTCGAGAAGTCGAGGTGAAGTTCACATCAAGTGTCTCACTGACGATTTCATTTATAAATAGCTTTAAACTGTCAGTCGAAAATATACTCTACATCCATGCCATACGGCCGCTTTTAAAAATTCTCGTTTACAGTCGAGAAGTCGAGGTGAAGTTCACATCAAGTGTCTCACTGACGATTTCATTTATAAATAGCTTTAAACTGTCAGGCGAAAATATACTCTACATCCATGCCATACGGCCGCTTTTAAAAATTCTCGTTTACAAGTCGAGAAGTCGAGGTGAAGTTCACATCAAGTGTCTCACTGACGATTTCATTTATAAAAAGCTTTAAACTGTCAGTCGAAAATATACTCTAATTTCATATAGAGAAGGTCGCTTTTAAAATTTCTCATTTAGTTGTCAAGAGAGCGAGGTGATTTCCACAACGAGCGGCTCGGCAGTGATTTCATTTATAAAAACGTTGAACTAATCAGTCGAAAATATACTCTATTTCCATGTGTAAACGGCCGCTTTTAAAAATACTCGTGTCCAGGTCGAGAGGGCGAGGTGAAGTCCACATCGAGCGGCTCGGCGGCGTCCGTGGCGGCCGACGGGGGCGGAGGGGGCGGCGGGGGAGGCGGAGGCGGCGGAGGGGGCGGGGGGGCGCGCAGGGAGCACTCGCACTCCAGCGGGTCCTCGCGAGCCGGGGAGCGGCCCGTGCTGTTCCTCTAACGGTGAGGAGCCCTACATATATTATATAATCATATCCCAGGACACACACACACCCACATCTAGTCCCAAGCGAAGCAGAGCTTGTGTTATGGGTACTAGACAACTGATATAGTTATATAGCTATACATATAAATGAAATTGGAGTTTGTAATATTGAAATAATCGTTTTTTACTACATGCATATGAATATAAATACGGTATATACACCAAAATAACATTTTTTACCATTTTTATCTATCTGTTTGTTTGTTCCGACTAATTCCTGAAATTTTCGGACCGATTTTGACGGGACCTTTATTGGCAGGTAGCTGATGTAATAAGAGAGTAACTTATGCTACTTTTATTTTAAAAAAATAAAGTTAAATTCCACGCGAACGAAATCGCGGAACAGCTAGTATATTATATACATAGAGAACATACATACCAATAATAAACAATGATACCCATGAATACAGACACTTGTACTATGCGTGGAATCGAACCCGCGACCATCGGTAGTAAAACGGTGTGTTTAACGACTAGACTACAGACGCCGTCTTGTTTGAGTTTAAATAACTGATTCTATAATAATGTTTTTTTTTTTTCAGGACGGAACTGTAAGCGCTCTCAGCACATAGCGTCATGAACTGCCAAATATCCCTAGGTAATTTACTGGTATATATATGTATTTGTATACATTTTGTATGTCTGTCGCCATCTAATAAGGATCATAAGGAAGTAGAATCGTAAGGAGTGACGTCACAATTGGAGAACGTCCAATAGCAGTCGCCCGTTATGAAGGACGTTCGAAATTTAAATTGACCTTACACGTGTTAATTATGACGTCAGAATTAAATATCCCATTACATGCAGTAATTAAAAAATACCTGTTCGAAATTTAAAATATCTATACCTTTTTAAAAATAGAATAGGCTGTATGGTCTGAGAATCTTTGGCTGTTCCATTGTTAAAAAAGAGATGGACGTATATGGGGAAAAATATCTATATCTTGAAGTGACGCCATAAAAGGACGTCCCGCCTACTGCAGTCGCCTCACTATGGAGAACGTTCTAAATTTAAATAATCAATTTAACTTGAATTTATATCACATATACGTTGTGACGTCACAATTAAAATTCTAGTTACCTACAGTAGTCCACAATAATAGTCATTCTAAATTTAAAATATCTAGCTTGAAGTAACCTTGAATTGTGACGTCATAATAAGCGTTCAGCCTACAGCAATCGCCCCACTTCCAGTCGTTCCAAATTTAAATTAATTTAACTTGAAGTGACGTCATATTTAAACATGTCAATGTCACACTCGTGTAGTGTGACGTCACAGCGGGATGGCCATGATGGAACTCGTTCTAAATTTAAAATTACAGTGACTTATGACGTCTTAGAAATATCACAAACGTGTTGTGTGACGTCACAATAGGACATCCATGATGGAACTCGTTCTAAATTTGAAAATTTCAGTTGCCGTGACGTAGTAATGACGTCACGGTACCGACATCGGCGTTATAGTGAGGAAACAAATTTGGGTTTTTTTGGATGATAATGGAGTTTTTCTTGTCAGTTGTTCATAGTTCGCAATCACTCCGAACTGACGGTAGATTTGACATATCATCTGTTTGATGACGAAGGACCTTTGCCATCTTTTATCTCTAAAAAGGCAGACGAATTCGCAGGATACAGCTAGTTCAGATAGTTACAAAAAAAAATATTTATTTGAAAGTTTTTCAAGAGGGTATATTAAGGTTTATAGACTACGGATATATATAAGGTCCATAGACTACGGATAACCAATCATGATTGTTTGTCACCTACGTAGTAAAAAAAAAGTGTATCCAAAATATCTTTCAGTATCCTATTATAGAATATAATGCCCATTCCCATAAGAAAAACCCATTTGTTATTATAACGCCATGTCGATGACCTATATGTATTGTTAACACGCGATTCGTAAAATTGTGCGTTTGTCTGTCACAGTGACATGGAGTATTACAGGACGTGTATATACGTAGTACTAGCGTAGTATATATAATTATTGTCATATGGACAGATTATACTAAAATGGGTTTACTCAAAAATTACAAGTTTAAAAAAAAACATACCGTCAGGTCTGTTATCCCAGATGGGAACCCACCACCGGCCCATGGCCATACCAACCTCGTGGTTATACTGACCGAATTACGGGGAATGTGCGTTAAAATGTTATCTGATTGAACACAGATTAAGTGCGTAGCGGTTTCTATATTGATTATCGCATGCCTAATCCTTGTTAATGTAAATATAATTAAAAAAATATTTATTTAAAAGAACAACACTTAAGTTTCTTACTAATTCTTCTTGTGATGAGTCTGCATGCCGAATGAGCGGTAGAATAAAAAAAAATACGTGACTATTCAAAAGTGCTTATATTAAGTTTATTTGAATAAAGATTATTTCTATTTCTATTTCTGAAAAGCACGCATTATCTTTATCCCTACAAATTATTTCTACTCCTATCCCTCTGATTGCTCTCCCCCCTTCTGGGGCAGCGGACGAAACAGTGCCGGCCAGCACTCCTTCACCGGCATCCTCTCTCTCTCTCTGCACCATCTATATCCCAGATAGGGTAATCAGCATACAAGCCATTACATGTACTCTTTCACGGGCGAATAGGCCGTCCAATTCAAACGGGATCGAAATTACGACGGCCTGTACCAGGCCGAACCCCTAGCGGTGCCATCAGACTAAAGTCGTATCCGTCAGGCGGGAGTTGGCCTTCAGCCGCTCCATAAGTCCCTCCTTTGGTTTGGAGTGCCATCTACACTCGCCCCCTATCGTCCGGTGAAGCTGTAAAGGCCAGCTGCGTGTATTCTAGACTGCGCATAAAACTAGACACATACACTTTAAACACAAAATAACTCATTTTTAACTGTCTATTTTCATAACAACTACTTTCAAATGTATATTTTTTATTACACTGTCACGTACGGTGATATTCAGAAAATGATGCGACAGAAAGGGACAGAACATTTCCAATATACATGATACAGTGTCGACAACGGGAAAATCGACTTTAAACGCATTATGAAGGATAAATTAAAAACTACGGTTCAGATGTTAATTAAATATAAATGGGACCATACGATAAGTACCTACTTTCAAACAAGAAAAGAATGATTAACCCCTTATGTCACAATTAGTCACATTATGAAAGTAAATAGTTGTGATTTAATATTAAAATTTAAATGTGATGTCACTAAATCTAAGACACTTAGGAGCCTTTTCTTATCGTGTGGAAAAATCTCTAAAAGATCATCTCCCCAACAGAGGGAATGTGTGGGATTCTTACCCATGTTGCGGGTGAATAATAAGATGTTGCTGGTCGAGACGATGTATTTTACAGATGATAATAAACTGACAATGTGTACATAGAAATAATGATCTTAGGAACATTATTTCTATGTACACATTACAATAGGAAAATGTAAGGTGGGGTGACACAGTTTAGATACAGCAGTGCCTAGTAGACAATATTGAATTTGTCTTACTAGACATTATTAAATGCAATTACTATTTTATGTATCTAGGTGACTGTGTCCCATAGATATTCCCCCCTTGAAAAAAAAAAAATATATACCTATTACACACAAAAAAATTATAAAAGTTAATTGTAAAATTTAAGATATTATGAACTTTAGTAACAATAAAAATTCATTATACCCAAATAACGACGTAAATCTTCGACTGTCGTGGGTTTAGGGTACTCGTCGATTACTTGCCATTTTTCTTGCGTTGGTTTCATCCCTTGGCTCGTTATATGATAACCAAGAAAATCTAACTCATTTGTGAAGAACTCGCATTTGCTCATATTAATTGTTTGCGGCGAATAATTTGATTTCGCTAGCGCTCTCTTTGGTCTGTGCTTGTGTTTTATTCACCGAGATTTTTGCTTTCGGTGTCCACCAAAATTCTATAGCCACTGTTAGAGTCGGTTATAGCTAGGAGGTTAGACGGATGAACAGCACAGCGTTCCGTCTTATTCTGCGTCGAATCTAGTTTTCCGACGGTTGTCTATAGGAGCGCGGCATGTCACATTTGTATGCCTTTTCTTTATATTTGCGATGATATAATATAAATAATAGTCATTTTTCTGACTACGCAATGACCGTAGGTGCGAATTTGACCTAGATCGGTAGTTGCTGCGTCTGTTTGTGTGTGGCGAGCGCTTTTCGCGTATATCAGCAATTTCTGATCGCAGTGTCGCAATTAGTGACGACAGGTGTGCAATGACGTCGGCGGTGACTGTTGGCTGTACTTTTGTAGACAGCATTTTTGCTTTATTTTTCCAGTTTCAATTTTTCGTCCAGAGATTATATCCAGCAGGCAGTTGTGTTTACTGGGGGTCAGTAGCACGGCAGGATCCTTGTTGCGCAGTATTGCCAACGACTTTTATGCCTCTTGAATTTCCGAGCCGGTGAGACCCGCTTCTGGGAAGCCGGTGGAAATGTGCAATTGTTGGTGGTGCGCAGGATGCCGTCAGACAGAGATCTCTTGTTTGATCTCGTCGTTTTCCCAGGTATCGACTCGACCACGTCGGCCAGATCACGTCGGGTAGATCACGTCGGCCAGATCACGTCGGGGTCACCACTGTTGCGGGTGAATAATACGATGTTGCTGGTCGAGACGATGTATATTACAGATGATAATAAACTGACAATGTGTACATAGAAATAATGATCTTATATACTAAATAACAATAGGAAAATGTAAGGTGGGGTGACACAGTTTAGATACAGCAGTGCCTAGTAGACAATATTGAATTTGTCTTACTAGACATTATTAAATGCAATTATTATTTTATGTATCTAGGTGACTGTGTCCCATACCCACTAAAAAAACACGGTGTACCTACGAGCGCCAAGCCGGAGACGCGATGCGGGTTATCATTCTATTCTATAAGTCATGATTTTTTTACAAGAATTTTGGGACACCTTTAACCTCTTCTTATTATACAATGTCCCACTTTGTTAGTCACACGTGGGGGTTGGGGTGTCCCACACGGTCCCCTCAGCATTTAGCGTAATTTATCGTTGGCTTCCAAGTCAAAATGAAAAAACGTATAGTTGGACTTTTAAACAAGATTTGATGACACCTATAACCCCTTATATTGTTATACAATGAACTTTGTTAGTCACACGAGGGGGTGGGGGCGCACACGGCCCCCTTAACATTTGGCGTTATTTATCATTGGCTCCTAAGCCAAAAAGAGAAATGGAAAGCGTATAGTTGGAGTTTTGAAGAGGATTTTATTTTTAGGTCAGAATAATACACGAATATTACCTTGTCAAGTGTTGACTACCTGGAATAACAAATGACGGTATGTTTTTTTTTTAATTTTTAATATTGTTTATGTAAAATATCGCCATAGACCATCGAGTCTCTTTTTTTTTAATTGTATATTTATTATTAATGGTATAAAATGTACATAATTATGGTGAATAAATAGTCGATTCGGAATAGTTTTAAGGGTAGTGATGGCGTGTGACGGATACAGCTTCCTCATTTGTAGGAGGAATAAGTAACATTATGTTTTATAAGAAGTTGTATTTGTCACATTCAAATTTCTTGAAGGGGTTCAACAAAGAGGGAAAACGGGATGACAGGGGGTGAAAGAGGGTCTGACTTTGGTGCCGTTTTATTTCAGAACGTAATATGTTTAAACAGTAAAATTTGAACTATTAAAAACTTAAAAGTATGTCATTAATATTTATATAAATACAAAATATGTGATGTCACACTAGGGGGCGGGAGTGTCCCAAATGTGACCAACTGTGACGAGGAGGGGTTGAAAAATCATGATATTTATATGACGTAATTTATGTATGGCCCCTTATTTGAAGGCTTCGGCAGTCTAGCGGTTTAGCACACCGCCGATGTGTCGACCGATGGTCGCGGGTTCGATTCTCGCACGATACA